TTTTTTTTTTTTTGGCATTTTAAACAAATTTCCAACTTTTTTTTTTCTTTTTTTCTCTATATTTTTAAAGAGTGCCTAATTTATTTCATAGCCATTGTCTGACAAGAGTAGCAAAACATTATCAATAAATAGTCCTTATTTAGTTTATACATTTTGTTAAAAATGTTTCGATGTTGTAGATGTTGAGTGCTGCAACTGTAAACGTACAATAGTTAGTAAGAAATTAAACAAAGTTTTCATGTCCAGTAACATAATAAAAGGCCTTTCAGTAACATAGCTAGACGTTCCCAATGTAGTAGGAAAACATGTTCATTCCCCTAACTTTGCAATATATACCAGCATGAGCTTCCATTTTTCTACAAGCATTTAAAGGCATATCCAAAGGAGGTGTCTCTCCCCCACCCGCCCTCCCACCAAATTAAAGTTGACGATCTCTTTGTTGATGATTTTTGTAAACTGAATCCAACACCTGGCCCCCAGAGCAAGTAAGCTATTATCAGAGGCAAGAACATCCCATTGCTGACGTGCAGCAACCCCATTGCGCCCTGCAGCTCAACCCCCCTCCCGGACAGTGGTCACTGGATATTGCTGCTATTACTGCCGTTGCTGTCCGTGCCATTAGTCTCTGTGGAGATTGCTTTGTTGATGGAGTTAAGGTTGGCATCGGATGGCACGTCTCTGCGCGGAGGCATTCGCTCATTAATTCGATCTAAGCCTTTGGCCTCTTCGAAGCTAGTGATCTTATGCTGGGGTGAAAATCCTTTGATAGCTAAATAAAGGATTATTGAAAAATAAAATTAGCAAGATAAAACTCTCAGCAGCTTTTCCCCCAGTTTAGCAACAAGTGCGAGAGTCCTTCTTGGGAAGGCAGCAATGAGAAGTTCTGACACCACCACCAACTCCATACCACACTCAGAAAGAGCTGGGGGCTTCACCACCACCATCCCTTCCAACACAACTGTTGTTCTCAACACAATCAACTTCCAGTACTTTTTTGTCCACTGGGGCTCAGTTTAGAACACCAAGATGCTGACATGAAACTACAGTTTGCACTTTGGAACCGTGCTGAGGGCACAGCCATGAGCTGGTGACTCGGCATTTGCTGTCATCACTTACAGTCTTAAGGACGTCATGCCTTTCCCTAATGCCCCTTCATCAGGCAAAACTCCCACCTGACCTTCAAAGATCATGCAAAAAGTGCTGGCTACTTCCAGATGGTGATGACACGGTGAGGCCACTTTGTGGGACATACATTGAAGCTAGGGAAGATCTGGGGTTACCCTACAACAAGCTGCCTTCTGTTCTCAACACAGGTGAGCTGCTTATTGATTTTTTGGGGCAGTTATCCTCCCTGATACAACCCTGGACTTCTAGAAAGCAGCTTGAGTCAAACAGCAGGAACACTGTGCAACACAGATCAGGGAGACTGTCATTTCGGAACAGCTATACAGTTTACCTTAGGAAACACACTGACAAAGGACCAAAGTTCCAACTGATCCTGAGGAGTTTTGATCTATCTGCCTTTTAGCAGCAACATTGGTGAGGCCACACCAACCTCAGAAGGAAGGCAAAGGCTGAGAGATGTATTCACAGACTGTGATTTTTATTTAATTTTATTCTCTCTCTAATTGAAGTGTTGAAGATCTTTAGATTTAAAGCAAAAAAGAAAAAAAGCACTGTAGGCAAACAGCAGGTCACAGCCCCATAGATAATTTGTCACAGGCTTCTGTGTGTTTTTTCTCTTATCGGTACCAAATCAATGCACTGCACTTCCAGAACTGGAATTTCTGCTAGGCCTCTATCATAATGTGCCATAGAGCAGAAATGGTGCGTTAGTACCAGGAAAACTGCAAACTCCCCAAAGAGAAACGGTAGGGGAGTTTCAGAGATCGAATTCAGTATTCCTTCTCCCCTTTTCTCTTCTCTTTACCCCCAAATACTCTCCTTCCAATATGACGTCCCGATTCTGGACATGCTGGTAACTTCTGTTAAAAAAAAGCTAACACACCCCAAACCCCAGAACATCCCTGGTACCAAGCTACCACTCCTTGTATTTAGTGGGGAGCAAGAAAAGGCATTTTCATGCTGATTGTGCCACCCTTTCCTGTGAAAATTGATAGATCCTGTTTGCCTCAGGATTTAGCTCTTTAGCTAGTTTCACAAATGTTATATTGGAACTTTGTGGAGTGCATGGCTTTTAACATGTATTATACTTCAACTCAGAAAAACAACAACATAATGGTGATTAGTCAAGTGAGCAGGGACAGAGCAGTGAAAACAGAACAGGTTGTACAGTGAGTTTTCTTAAGGTTTGCCTTTTTGGTTGGCTTTTTCTTTTTCTTTTTTTTTATTTACCTTCTACCACAAAATGAAGATGTCTAACAAGCACCCATGCCAATCCCTTAAAGCAATACTTTAATGGATGGCTGCATTGAAGCTGAAGCAGTTTCCGTGTCCTAGAGCTTGCCAGCAGCGCAGCCCAGTTGGTGTTATTGGCCCTGAAGGACAACTGGTAAAGGGTGAAACTTCTCCTCCATCAGAAGCTTCACCTGTGTAGAGCAGTAGCTGTGACTATGGTGACGGTGTTTAACTAGCAAGGATGGCAAATCAAGAATTAACTTGAGGGGTGCATATTGCTGGCATGGGGGCACGTTAAGGGATTGTATTTCCACTAGACACATTATTGTCTGTAACACTAAGGAAGGTGCTCTGCTGTAGTTGCTGGTCAGACAACGAATATTAGCAGGTTACATTGAGAGTCTACTAAAACACAACACATAGTCACAGAAAATCACAGAAAACAGCCAAACTGTCAACAAGAATGCACACTGCAGATTAGAGATTGCCGATAGGAATAGATAATTCCAACATAAATAGCAGCTTACTCACTGCTATTTAGAAAGCAGTTGTATTTTCTCTTACTTGCTTGTTCAGTAATTTTATTCACTGCTTTACAAAATTCAAAAACAAATTCAACTGGCCGAAAGGGCACATCTTACCAAAGGACAACAATAACCGGATTTTTTTTTTAAATAACTAAAAAAAAATACCCACAGAAAATTTGAGAGGGGCAAGAACAAAATACAACTGAAGAATTTTGTTTTAAAGGGGAATTCTGAAAATTCGTCTTCCAAAACTTTATAATACTGAACAAATATTGTACATCTGCATTGCAATACACGGCTACTTAGATTTTAACTGAAGTGTTAAAAATTGTTAAGGGTTAAATTAGAAGTCTGTCAACAAAACACCAGGTTTCAATACTTCAACATTCAGAAATCTTCCAAGGCAGACAGTCACTTTATATGCAGCTAAAATGGTGCCTGTGTTAATGGCTGCTCTAATGTAAATATCCAGTGTGTAAACTGCCACTACCAAAAGAAGCAGACATCTTGCAGACAAATGTCTCATGTTGTTTTACTTTTAAAGGGAAACAGAAACATGCTGTACTATAACAAAAGACCAATAAATTTTTTTTATTAGTGACCTAAAAGCAAGGAAACAAACTGAAGCATAAATAAAAAAAAAAGGGAAAAGAAACAGTAACAGAAGGAGAGAATATATAAAAAGCTATGTGTTTTCCTTGACCAGAAATTGCTGAGGATAGTTTGAGCCAGCCTCCAGCGCACAGCTTTTGAGCTATGTGTCACAAAGCATTTACGAGCTGCTGCCAAGTCATGTCCCGTGAAATCCAAGTTCCCTGATCTTCTCCTGTGACATTACTCAGTGCTTAGTTCAACATACAGCAATTCCAACGTGTTTGTGACTTACAGAAAGAAAAAAAACCTCAACAGCAGCAACAGAAAGAAAAACCAAAAAACACTTTCCCCTTTAAAGCAATTACATTTTGGTTAATACCGAGCCACAATTGTTAGCCCAACACCCACACAATCTGTACAAGCTACAGCAAAATGAATACACCCAGCAGAGCCCTTATCTGTTGTGGCACCAACAGAAAGGGGACTGGCCAATTTACCTTCATCAGCCTCAATAGCCTCAACAGTAGCTGAAGAGAAGAAAGGGGTAGCAAAACGAATGAGAAAAAATGAGCAGAGGATTTTAACTCTAAGAACAAGTCAGTGAATAGCAAAGGAGCTACAACACTAATGTTACTGTAAGTGCTGGATTTTGGCAAAACAGACACACAGAGAAATGTTTACACAAAAACAATAATTTGCAAATTGAATTAAGCTAGAGTTTGTTTTAAAGCAGAAGTTCTACAAACTGAAAGTTAAAGACACATTTAAGAAGTTTTCTTTTGACTCAAAAGAACTACAAAAGGTAAATATCTTCTATGGTGCACATCTGACCTGAAAAGGTCATTATATAATTATCCCAGCTCTCAGTAAGAGCAGTTTGACTTGCCCTTTAAAAGAGAACAGAAAATGGCATAAAGCCATTGCACAAAATTCATACAACTTGCAATATTAGCTGAAAAGTAACAATGCCAATACAAGGCAAAGGAATTCTATACACAACTTTACAGAATTGTATTTTTTTTCTCTCCTGACTAAAAGAAACACCCCCACAGCATGGGATGCTCAGAAAGCTTTGCCTTTGCTTGCAACCTTGCCCAGTCTTCTCCATCTGTAAACTTTCCTTTTGTCAAGCCAGTCTCTGAAAAACAACATGTTGCTAATATTTTATTTAAATCAATGGATGTAGATGTAAGATTGACTGTTGGACCTCCAAAGTTGCAAAGCCTGGTAAGGGAGAGCAGAGCTTGTAACTGGGAGATTGCTCCAATGTTATGAATACCATGCTACCACTGTTGTGAAACCATTAATTGTTCTTAAACACATACTTTCATTTGAATTTTACCCATCAGCTTTGGATGCATTTTTTTTTACAGAGATTTAGAAGCTGATGCAAATCATTAAATGTAATCCAATATAGCAAATATTTTAAAAGACATTTTGATTTTCAAGAGTTTCTCTGGTTTAGAGAATAGCTCAAGAAGTAAAGTTTTTAGGAAGTCTTCTCTTCTTTTTTGTCTTGTTTTCCTGTACACAAAACCCGAACTTTTTTTTTTCTCCCACCCCAGTTAAAATGTTAAAACATGGATTAAGATATATTCTAAAATATCTATACTATTATCTTGCTGCATGGGGAAATGAGAGGATTTAACCCTCATGCACCAAGGTAAGCCTATGCCTCTCAGGCAGCAGAGCAAGAGAGATGGCCAAAAAACAAGGAACAAAACCAACACAAACTTAAAAGAAAAGCAAACATGATAACTAGGATGAGAAATTAAAATGAATAACCAGATCCAAACCAGCACTGAAACATTAGAAAAAATGATGACTAAAATGTATACTTTCACAACAGAACATACTACTCATATTTTCTGTTAATACATATGGCAATATGTGAGCTTAACAGAAACTATGTGAACTTCAGAGTATTTGGTGAATGGGGTACTATGTGTTAACTGATGCAGAAGCTTGTGTATAGTAATGTTTTACTGAGCCAGAATACTGCAGTATGAGGAGAGTTTCCTTTTAGCCATTGTAACAAGAACATTTGGCAATTTTCTCTAATTCATTTCTATTCCTAATATTTTACCAGGGCAACAATAGCAGTTTCCTTGGACCAAATTTTCTGACAAATGTAAAGCAACTATGAAGAGAAAAGCCTAGGTGAAAACCACAAACCCATTGAAAAATGCCTCCTGTGAAATCATATTGCAGCATTTTCAAAGCAGAATGTTACTATGTCCATAACACACAAAGTCATCAACAAGAAAAAAGAGAAGGGAAAAAAGAGGAAAAGGACGTTTACCACCATATATCTGAATCTTCTAGATAAAAGAGACAGTAAAGGGAAAAATACAGAGGAAGAATGCTCCAAGAAGGAAACAGGAAAACAAGAGGCTGAGACTGTGTCAAGGTTATAAAGCATTTCTGTTTCTTACATCTACTGCCAACAGAACCTCAATAAATGAAAGACCTTTATATGTACCTGCAATATACTCCACAGCAATACACACATAAAAAAAAAAAGAGAGCTTCCAGTAATAAATTGAATAATTTGCACTCCTTATTCCAAAAGGAAACAAAGGCAGCCCTACTATAGACTTACCAACTTCCTGTAACAAGAAGCACTTGGTATAAAACTGACAATCTGTACTGTGTTTGTGTACAAGGCAAGCACAGTGTTTGTAAGAGCTTCCCTTCACTTGGGCTTAAATCAGAGCGGATTTGTTCTCATGCTGTCACCTAGAATTTCTAGGAGAGAAAATTTAATTCTAGAGCTATTTTCCATTGGTGATTCTCTGTGAGGAAGAACAAATCAGATAAAACAAGAGTTTGAGTGTCATTAGCTAAGCTGAACCTTCAGTACTCCATGTATCAAGGGCTGCTCTTAAAAAAAAAAAAAAACAACTCCAAAAGATGCTCCAAACTCTGAAAAGAGTACACTTCATATACAATGCTGAGCCACCATTTTAGACAGTTGATTTTCAGGGGGTCCCCCCCTCCCCCCTTTTCTCTGAAAATTTATGGTATGTAGTAAGTCTTGAGAAGTGGCCTTAGATGAATTGCTCACAAATGCTCCAGGCCAAAAAACTGCCTGGGGGTTTTTTCTGTCCTTTGTTGTTTTATTTTTGAGACAGCTATGGCTACTTAGGTTCTGCAGTTGAAAACCACTTGTATTTTTTACACAGGACAAGACACACAGGCAAACAGGCTTACCACTTTGCAGTGTTTGTTTTCCTCCAGAGAGCACACCACTGGGCAGCATTCCTGTTGGAGTCAAACCTTTCAGCGTCAGCACACTCTCACTCTCTTCTCTGCAAAAGTTAAAAAAGAAATGAAAAATAAAACCACCAAAAGTAAGCAAACATATTTTTAAAAAGACATAGGGCATATTTTAGACATCTTAAGCTATACATGCCCTGCAACGATTTTGTCATCTCCAATCTCCTTGCTAAGATGGACTGAATTTGTTGTGAATCAGCAAATTCAGTGAAGTCCCCTTCACTGCTGTGTACATGGTTAACCTTTGCATCACACCATGTGCAACTCCCCTACTGTAGTTAACACTATAACCTGCACCTATGGAACAATATGTCTGTAACCCCAAATCTGAGAGGAGGAGGACAAGAAGGATCAGATATTGCCAACAATGCATTTAGGCATTTTTCACTGTGTGGTCCAAAATCAAGTTAAACTGTTAGTTTGCTCTTGTCTACACTAGCAGGCAGGTGCATTATTTATTGATGATCACCATCCACTTAAAGAAAGGCAGCTAAAAGCTCATTAAAATTAATATGCACTTCCATCATTGCTAGTACTGTCCTTAATAATTTTGCATGCTAAAAATAATATGGATTCAAGACAATTGTTTTAGGAAACTGAAATATGCTTTGCTGGGCTCCAAATACAGTTTTAAAACAGAGTTTTTAAATACATTGCAAGAGGAATACAACAGCTCTATCCAGAGAAGCCTTTAAGTAAGGCTACAAGGACTGTAATGCTGCCTGTGATGACATATTTCTCAGCAGCAAAATTGACCCCAATCCCTTAAGAGAAACCCATTTTGAAGTGCTTTACTTTGAAGTATATAATGCCATTAAGCTGGAGGAAGCAAATACAAAGACAGAATTTAGCTGCACATTCACTTGAGGATAATGTGGTTTTGTCTACAAAAACTGTCTCTCAGCAATTCTACTACTTAAAATTTTCTTTGTATCTACATGGCCTGAATGACTCATGTATTTTAAACAATTCTTGTTTACCTACTACATATACTCTTCAAGTTCTATTTTTAGTTTGAAAATAATTCTGCTTGCACTCCCTTTTCATGATATAATAGTCAAAATCAAATTGTGACCATTTTGCTTACAAGTTGCTAATTCAAGAGCAAAATATTTTCAGAATTAACACAGTATTTTTATCATCAACAGTTACCCAGCAAAGCTTTCGCTTTCTCTCAATTATTCAGTACATTACAAATATATATATATATACATATAATTTTTTTAATTAAACTGCAATGGCATTTTTAGCTTCACCCTCATGGGCTAAATTTACTGACTGTATTTTTCTTATCTCTAAACTGCATATCCACAAGATGTGTGTCGCAAATATCAAGATGTTTTAGCCTTCAGTGTTCCTTAATTTCTATTTGATGTAATTTATTTCTATTTCAAAAAAAGGATAATAGACTGATTAAGAGAAAGAAAGCTGGAGACAGGCAATGACAAGGAATCGTGAAGACTTCCATTTAGCTAAAGCAAATCTTTCTACAGTATCTATTTTCATCAAAGCTCATTTACAACATTTGAAACTCAATACAACATTATTTTGTTATCTAATATTTTTCACTAAAATGGCTGAAATGATTTCAGCTTTACATTCAAGTTACATCCTCAAGGAAAGGGACCACTCCAGCCAAAGAAGAGATGACTAAGTCCTTTGCAGGTGGCCAGATTAAGTGCTAGTCATTCAGAAAGTCAGAAGCTTTTCAAGAATTAGTGAAATAAATTCCATAAAACACAATGACTCAAATAGGAACTTCAAAGGTTTCCAGAACAGGTAGGTACATAGATGCTAGAAGATGGTGCTGCTGCAGTCTTAGGGTTACACACAATTACTTCACACTCGTGTCTTACATGGACTATGCTGGCAAGACAGAAAAAATACCCCAGGCTTTTCTATAGGAACAGTGCTTGCAAGATTACCTTGCGAAATTTTTGCTGTCCAGCAGCCTGCCACCTAGCTGAGGAGAATCAGCCTTTCTCAGAAAAAAGAGAACAGGTATTCCCAGTGGTGGCTGGGATGAAATGTCACTCATCCCCCTAGAAGACTGGGCACCAAAACCAGGCATTGCAGGTACCTGTTTATTGAATTATCCAATATGCCTTGCATCACAGTGAGGATGTGCTGTATTTGCTAGTTAAAGGTAAGGGAGAACAAATCTACTCTTCATCTTCAGTCTTCCCTGCAAAGTTTTCAGGACCATCAATAATCAAGAGCTGTAAAAGGCTGAGCTGGTTTTGCCTGGGGTAGACTTAAGATATGAGGCTTATACATATCCTTGTAGACAGAGCACATGCAGGAATTATTCTGTATCCCTCTTCCACCCTTGAAAAGCTTCTGCCCTACAGATCCCTCTGAAGAAGTCTGACACATGGCTGATGTCAATCATCTGTGAGTTGTAAAACCCCAAATAAATTTATCAGCTGATCATCCAATTTCCGATCCTTCTGCTTATTAAAGCAGAATTAATTCTTGTGAATTAATCCTATATTTAAAAAGGGGGTTCACAGCAGAATACAGTCAATCCAAAACCTGTGGTTCAAGGTTATGGGAGAAAGCCAAGTTTCCCAAACTTTGTTTGCTTAACTATCATTAGAGAAAAATAGTTGTGCTTTTTTAGGTGGTAGCAGCCACCTCCAGGCTCTCTGCCAGACTTGGTAAAGAGCAGGTGGAAACATTTGATTGCTCCCCCATCTTGTTTAGGGAAAAGGCATGATGCCAGCTTTTATTTTTTTATGGGCACCACTTTGAAGTAGCTCATGCATCACCACTAAGTCACTCGTAACACTTTGGGAACCCCAGGTACAAAGTCCTCCATCTCAGTTTGCTATTTAAAGCTATGCTGCTGCAATCTGCAAGGCGTGGGTGAGCTGCTGTGCCCATGCAAAGTCCTACAGAAAACCTGCCCACTGCTGGCATGCTGCATTCAAAGCAAGCAAGCTGAACAGTTTCTACAGAAATTAAATAGCATATTCTTCAAGAAACTGTTTTATTTATTCTTCTCACATCAATCATGTAATCATAACAGTAATTGTTTTAGAACACCCTTGATTTTTCACTAAGCATAACAGCCATCAACAGCAGACCAACATACAGCTTCCTGAGGAAAAAATCCCTCTGCTGAAAGGGAAGGAGAACTGTATTTTCTATATTTAGACTTCAGCACAGTACAGCATGTTTTCTCTTCTGCTCAGAGACATCAAATGGAGAGCTCTAAACATTGGGTAGCAATTAGTTACTCATGTTCATGTGTTTGGGGAAGTGCAGCCCAAAGGAACAAGCTGCTGTTGCCTGCACAACCATTTCCTGGATTTCTAGGTAAATGACCCTAATGCTTTCATCTTTAGTCATCTTTATTTGTGGCTCTAGCAACATCTGTGGGTGACTAAGTGTGACAGCAGACTTCTTTTTTAACGAGAGGTGATGTATAACATACCCTTTCTCCACATTTAACACTTGCCTCACAGTGGCTAAAAGCTAATTAGTACACCTGGTGAACAAAAGTCTTTAAAAAGGGTAATTGGAATTTTTTTTGCTGATGTCTTTTGTTTGTCTGTTTTATATTCAACAAAAGCCCTGAGGAAGACTATTCAGAGCCAAAAGAAATGGCAGCATTGTATAAATAAAACAATCTCTAAAAGGCTGCAGTAGAACTCAGTTGGGTGGTATACTAGAATAGCAAATTTGCTGTTTGATTAACAGTCGAGTGCTCTAAGTAACCATTCAAACAGATCCTTCAACACTAAAAAAAAACTGAGCACAAAACCTTACCTTAACACTGAGAAAACTCTAGCCATTTTTCCTATTGCTCGTATCTTGTTTCTTATAACCTCCTTTCGAGCAGCAGCTGTTGCTCCTATGGAAAAGACATTAAAAACAGTTATAGGGATTTGTAACAATTCATCACTAAATACAAGAAACATCATGTTAATTCTACAGTTTGCCAAACTAAGCCACATTTTTGCAGTCAAAACTGAAAACACTATTTTTCTCATTCCTAGTTAAAAATTATTTAAGAGATAATAAAACCTAAGGGCAGAATCCTGGAAACGAGCATGAGATGGTAGGAATTGTGCTGGCTGGCAGTGGCTAAGAGAGTTCCACAGAGCAACTTCCTTCTAATCACTGCTATGGCTTGCTCAAAATTACAACTGCTTTGAAATTTGTAAACTCACACAGCACTCTGCCTTAAAAAAAAGTATAATGCAATACAGACTATGATTTGGCTGAGTTTGAGGTGCATTTGCTACTTGGATATCATCAAAATCTGTACACGCAAGAGAGAACCACATGAATGGAAAAAGCAAACAGTATTTATTACAAAGGATCCCCCACATCCCCAAGAAAATGTTCTGGTATACTCAGAAAACCAGTTTCATTAATTTTCAGGATCATAACCACATACATCACAAAGATTTCTCCTAAAGGTTCCTGCAGGACAGCTAACCTTGACTTGTGTGGATGCTGCCTGACAACTGCTGCCTGTTCAGACATCACTACATATCACAGTAACACTTCCTTCTTTGTTACTCCAGAATTCAAGGGCAAAAATGAAAATTTATGTTTTCAAATCCTAGCAAATTGATCCATTTTGTAGAGCCCATCAGGGAAGCTTAATCAGCAGAAAGAGGAAAAAATGAGGAGGGCAGCATTTGTGAAGAATATGTTTTGATGAAACTGGACAAGTGGCAATGGAATCAGAACTGGCTTCAGCAAGCAACAACAATCCAACACCTCACAACACCACACACCATCTTTCCTGCCCTGAAAAACTGTTATGTTATGTTATGACAGGAGCTCAAGATCATGGAATTAACAAACTCAATGGGCTTTTTAGGCATAGCCCACAGACTAAGGGGAACGATAGCTGCGTGTTTATCTACCAAAAACAGGAAAGGTGATGGTGTATTGGAAAATGTGGGACCTGATATGATACAATACCAGGATACTGTCCTGGTTTTGGGTGGAATAAAGTTAGCTTTCTCCATAAAAGATACTCAGAATGATGGCTTTCAAATCTCCCACATATAAAGATAAAAATATAAAGCAAATATTAAAACATCTGAAGATAAAAAAAGATATGAACACTTGGGCATAAATGTCTAATTCTAGACAATAAAGAGTGGGAGAAACAGCTGTAGTTCAGCTGTAACTGAATTAATGTAATATACTTTTAACAGCTTAATGAAAAATTTAAATAAAATAATACTGATTCAGCTGAGTTCTCCAGGAATAGAAGGCAGTACCTTCCTGCCTCAGTTACTGTGATCTCACAGAACTGTACTCTCAAGACAGACAAGACATGGTTTTCAGCCTTTCATATCCTGAAAACACTTAAGCATGATTCGTCTTCTTTTCTCCCCCCCTAAGCATCACAACCCTACTTGTTTATTACGAGTCCACACTATTCTGGTATGTCTTATGAGGATATTCAAAAAGTTGAACAGCAACTAAGATTACAGTCTAGAATATTTGAGAACTGAAAACTGAAAATATAATTTATGACTGAAGTGAAATATAATGTCCTACATTTCAATACAAAATAAGAAAAGAAAAAAGAAAAACAACCCTTCCATAATCATAAAACACAGCAGTGTTAAAGGGAGTATTTTGTATCTCGTTGATACACATAAAAGTTACCAAAAAATGTACTTAAAAGATTTTGGTCTCCACTGAATTTTCTAATGTAACAAATCTGTGAAAATGACATATGTTTAATAAATATTAGTAATTTCATTTATCCTCTCTGGCTTTATTAACATAATTTTCTAAATAATGCACCTGAAACAATGTTCTACTGCTCTGTTAGTTTTGACTGAATATCACTAACCTCAGAGTATGTGGATTTCTTAACTATTTATACATAAATCTTAGATTCACATTTCAAGTGTGTCTAGTCTAATATTCTGAAATTCACTATTACTGCAAATCCTGATGAATTACTTGAGCTATACTTAAGCACACACCTATGTGAAAGTAAATGGGTGAAAACCTGAGAACTGGCTATAGGTAAAAGGGTTAATTTTGGCCCTTGCAAACATTGCCTGATAGCCTCTCAAGATTTTACCTTCAATTCTTAGAGTCATAGACACATTTAGGCTGTAAAATATCTTTAAAAGATCTTCCAATAACAAAACAAACCTTTTTCTGAATGAAGGAACTGTATTTTAAAGTTCAAGACTGAAGTGTAAAAATTATTTGGAGGGTAAAATTAAAGTTTTGAATCTTACTTCAGTAATTTAACAAGTTCTATTGGATTTTGGATTGGTATCAAAACAGAATCTGCAAGCTGGGTGTGAAGGATTTATATGAAATGTAATTTAAACATTCAGATTAAGAAGCACAAAAAGGAAAAAAAAAAAGGACTATAAATGCTGACAATACTCTGAGATGTAGGATTAACAGATTTAAAACAGTGCTGAGTAAAAAAGTCAACCCCAAATCTCTCACTGGTATCCTAATATATATTATGTAGTTAAGCATTAGGAAAATTATTAAAACTTAAGCCTTCCAACTTATTGAATACCTTTCTTCTGTGCATAAATGGGATCTTCTTATGAATTCCAAAGAGGGGGAAAGAAAAAGATCAGTGATGTTTGTAGAAGGAAAATAAAAAATAATACAGAACATTTGAAAACATCAATGGAAATGTAATGTTTAAGTAAAGTCTGAAAAACAGAAAAGAAACAAATTAAGCAGAGAACATCCAAAAGGAAAGAAACAGATTGAAAATAGTAGGGAAAAAACCTCAAAACTGAAACCTTTTCAGCTTAAAGCCTTGTTAGTAGGTTTTGCAGGAAATCGACATGCATGCAGACCAGCAGTGGTGTTACCACCTCTCCAACACAGACTTTCTCCTACGTGAGAAAGGCTTTGTCACTTCTCAAAACCAGCCCCACCCTGGCCATATAGGGTGTGCCTGCGTGATGATGCCTCTTTTGTTAAAGGGTCAAACTAATTCCTCCAATTTATTTACACCTGATATCTCACAGGGTTGCTTACTGTCACAGCCAAGTCTGCTGCTCCTACCAGCATCTGTGCTACCCCCGCTGCACACCTGCCTTCCTCCAAATGCTCCAGCAGCTCTCAGTGAGCAAATTCAAATGCCACCACCGTGCAAGGTACTGCATTTTAAAATCAACTGTTTGAGGGCAAGACAAATGCACCACTTGGTGCCCAGGCACAACTGCACCATGGCACATGTTCCAGGGACACTGGTCATCTAGGGCATGCTGCTAGGTTGGTCCAGAGGCAGAGCACACGGAGGTGCCATAATACGGCTCACAGGAAAAATGCTTTGGGCAAGGAAACAACCACATCTGGCCAAATCATAGAGTGAATAATAAATACAAAGACCACATTAAAATGCCACTCTGTCACCAGCTCCCATAAATTAAGTATGCACTCGCAGTCCAGCCTTGCTGCTTTGGAGGGAAAACAAATGCAAACCACTGGGAAAACCCCTCCATTTTCTCTCAGCTAAAAATCAAGTCATTACCAAGCTAAGACACTAATCAGGCAGTACCATGAACATCTGAATCAAGGCACTGGTAACAGACCTAAGGATAAGGCCCTTGCTTTTGCTCTATCGGTCTCTATTAGTTGCTGCTGAGCTGGCTTCAGGCACGGTTTACTGTACTGAGGAGATGTGGCAAATGTCACATATTACTGTTCACAGCAAAACCAGGATATGATTGGCAGGAGATGTTTGACTTAGGAATTCTCCTTAGGCTGGAACTACAGCACTGTATTGGGAAGCTGTTTTCCAACTAAGGAATAAATGCTGTAGCTAATAGCTCTGACTGGCTTTTCTGTGAGAAGACTGAGAGCTAGTGTTGGAGGCAATACAAAAAATAATGTAGGTAATTTAGGAGTGTCTTCATGCCAAATCATGATAAGGATGCATACAAAGCAAGCAGTATATTTGTGTCAGATGTTTTATTGCATTATTGTACCCTTTTAATTAGCAGTTTAAGTTTATTCAATCAAATGCATGAGGCCAGAAATGTTGCTAATTAAAACAAAACAGAACTCTGACTGTATGCTGGCTAGGTAGAGGTATTTGCAGCTCCTGTTGCTAAGTGATATGTTTGATGCACAAACACACAGCACATGAACTAACATTTGCCCACGACATTTTTTTCTGGATCAGATTACATTGCAACCACCACAGCAAATAGTGAAGAGAAAGTACAGCAAGAGGAAACTATCAGAGATGAGGAAACTTGACCTATCATATTGTCTCATTCTTAAAGCGAATGAAACCAAAAGGCCAATACAGGCCAGCAGGGACATATGGGATAAAGGGCATTACGATATTTAGGCTTTTTTTCACAGTAAGCTTACACAGAAACTGCCTACAACAAATTGATCAGATCCCCATGATGTGTTTCCTTAGGGGGAAAAAGAACAGTGAGGGGGCAGGAAGAAAAAAAAAGGAATACATGCTGTTGAGCATCCTGCTCATGGCTAGATGCAACATACATGACTCAGAACTAAAAATAATAATAAATAAAAAGGGCTCACAAGAACACCATGCAGTGAAGTCAGGCAATACTGGTGGGGCTTTATTTTGAATGAAGGAATGAGAGGAGAAGACAGAAGGCAAGAAAATGTAAAAGAAGGTAATGAATGATCAGTGCAAACCATAGTGATGGACCATTCTCACTACATGAGGGAACCCAGGTCAGGGCATGTTCAAACTGCAAGGAGAGAAAGGAAATCAGCAGTGAGCCCTGAAAACTATAGATGATCTAAAAATAGCAATGATTTTTTAAATAAACAAAATGCATCTGCTGTTGCAGATATCAGGCATTTCCTTCTATGGGAAATACTGCTAAAAAAAAATGTCAGCAGGTAAACAGGACAAGTCCTCCAAGGGAGCTGGACAGAAATTACTGAAGAACAGTGGAAATATTAAGCCACTACAAGACTGTCAGTAGACTGTCCTTACAGAAACAGTTTTGATTGAGCTGGTAATCATTCTGGTCTGTTTCACTGAGAACACAAATGAAACATATCTTGTACTTCTCTCCCCCAGAAGGCAAGGCTTTCAGGAAAAAAAAAAATAAAAGAGAGGAAACTCAACTTGAAAGAAGATTTTTGTTTGCTGAACAGATAAGAAATCAGAACAGATATCAGCTTATATTTAAATTTAAACCAACCTCAAATTTACTTCTATGTCTGAATCCTTCAGTCTCTTCCATGTGTACCACCCCCATGAGCCTAACATCTCCAGTGGGCTGCAGGCAGAAGTGTGAGCCCACAGCAAGCTGCAGCGCCACTGCCACAGAGCCCATTCTACAGCTCTAAGGGGACTGATTACCTGGGAAAGCAGACATGAACATATGCCAGCTCTGGTTTTTAGTTACACATGCTAAAGACAACTACATTTCTAATATCTTCCATACCATAATGCTTTACACAGAAAATAATTTATACAGAAAAAACTGAGAAGAGATTTAGGTAACAGTATTAGTTTTACAGCAGTAGGAATGGTTTAGTTATTCCTCAACTAGAAACTTTACTGCTGTTAGTTATTGTTATACAGTACACACACATGCGAGCCCAGAGGATTTCAGCCTGTCTCCCTGCTTAGACACCTCCAATGCTGCAAACTCCAAGTCTGGAGAAGTGCCATGGTGAAAGTCCCAGGGAGCTGGGATGGGGGTTCACTCTCCTCTCAGAAAAAACACAGTAGATACAGAGACTTCCTACAGCTGGAGAGGGCTGCTGTCCCTCAAGACCCCTAACACCTCCCTATTTCTGATTCTGCTTTTGAAAACATGCTCCTGATCTATAACTTAGGGATGGGAATGATGACACTCCAAGTTTTAGGAAAAGAGTACAGGCATTGGCCTGTCTATGCCCAATGGAATCTTACAGTACAACTTTAAAAGAAAGCATTAGGCCAAGGCTGAATTAATTTAAAAATCCTTCCCATAAAGTCTTTGCTGCTTTGGCATTGTAATCAGGGGGATTTCAGCCTGTGCTTAAGAGCTTTCCTGAGCCAAGGATTTTAAGCACATGGTTTGTTGCTACTGCATTTAACTTGACACAGTTTTTACTCATTGTATGCCTCCATACAATTTCACACACTACTTTAATTACACAGTAGTGAGTTATTTAAATTTCATGAGGAAAAAAATGGGCACAATATTCAAACAGGTGTTTTCTTCCCTTCACTGATTACTGGTTTCAATAGTTCAGCCTTTGTCCCAAGTCCTGCAAGATAATTGTTCATGTCCACACTCTGTGGCCGATGCAGAACAGGGAATTCCATCTGTTTTTTCAGAATAAAATCAAAGTACTATCATCCATACCAGTCTTCTCCATCACAAAGGAAACATTTTGCAAAACCTCTGATCTAGCTTCCTGTTCCAAAGATTGAAAATAAATACTTTGAAAGAGAATGTTAATTATTAATTACAACTTCATTACATATTTGTCTTACTTGAAAGTTCTCCATTCTCCTCATTCATTTGTTCTGCCTAAAAACATCTTGAGAATACTCAGTAGTGCTAGATTTTTCCAGGTTATTTTTTAAAATTATTTTTTAATATTTCTGTTCTTTTCATATGTTTTCTTTTTTCTTAGACAGATTATCTATTATTACTTTGAATAGATTTTTTAAAAATACTGAAAGCATTCAGAGTAAGAATGTCAGGGCTGCACAGGATTTTTTTCAGCTTTTCTCAGTTGAAAAAGGACATTTTGGTGAGCTGCTATTTATTCTTGCATAGCCTAACAGAAAATTAGGACTAATAAAATAAATTGACTTTTAAGAATCTACAAGTTGTAAACTACAAAGTATCATTTACAGTCAAACCAACTGGTAAAAGGCAGCTAATCATCATATAAACTTCAACCCAAAGGATAACAAAACTGACCACTTCTCTCTTAGCAGAAATGTCAGGTTAGAACTTTTTCTGTGTTTACATGCTTATTTTTAATGATTGTATTGCTCTTTCAAGCCTTTTAGACACTCAAGCACATCAAAAGAAGTGACCAAAGAAATACCTCAAGCACAAATCTTCCAAAGTTGCAGCACCAACATTTTTGGAAGGAGCTCTGCAGAAAGCTTTCTTCATTGCAGGAAGAATATTTCACTGACATAATTAAACTTGCTATGAGAATACCTGTGATCTTTTGCATGAAATCATCTGACTCCTTTGTTTCAACACAACCCAGATTTCATGGATGGAAATTCAGGTTTTTTAACCAGAAGACTGAGATGAAGAAAAGGGTTAAAACAGGGCAGATCCATTAATTCTTTCTAAAGCATATGGGAAGCAAATCCATTGTAGTCTAGCACAACAGTTGCTTTCAGTGGCACAGAATTCAACTGGGACTCAGAAAATTATTTCACGGTTAGTAAATAAACTTTTCAAGTAATTCCAAAGCAAACAATCTCAACCAAGGGTAGAAGCTCTTACCATCAAATCCATCTTCCTCTGTTCCCAGTTCATCATCTGAGCAAATGTTCAGCACGTTTACCAGCATCTCTGTCACTAAAATGGAAAAGAAGTGCAAAATGTTGATATTAAGCTTCCCTGGTCTGTCAGAGAGCCAGCTCTAGCTGTAGTAGTGTGAACAAAAATTCAGCGCAATAATGGGACCCTCTTTTTAAACAAGAGGACCTGTAGTAATAGAACGTGCAAGTGTCCTGTGTAGCTAACAAAAAGTACAAGTTTCCAGAAATATTTTTCCAAATACAATGAACCTAGCAAACAGACTTAAAAATATCTGCTAATGATCTCTCCTTTTGCAGCTGTCAGTGATTTTTTTTCTCCCCCTCAACACATTTTTTGCCTTTCATTCAACTTGGCTAACAAACTGACCCCTCTCCTCTTCTAAATTGCAATAGGATTTGATTTCCCTGCCCAGTGAATGGGAACAACATTCCAGTAGAAGAAGGTACAACAAGAGGTATCATAGAGGATTTCTTTATTTATCCAGGTTTTGGACACTACTTCCAGTTCAACAAGACATTAACCGTTTTAAGACATCCTCGCTGTCCCTTGAATTCCCGGACAAACAGACCAGACAGTGTACATTCCTTTGAGGTGGAACTATTCTATATTCAACAGAAACATCATTATTGGAGAATTTAGACCATATTCAGCTTGCTTACTTTGCAACTTGGGCATGAAAGGGGCAGCCACAGGCTGTCCCTACTCTGGTCTTATTTCTTTCCAGAGAGACAACTGTGAGACACCAAACAGAGAGCACACAGAGTAAGAACAGGGGGAAAAAGAACCAACCCCACCTAAAATCAAGACCAAGGAGATACACCTTAGAGAACAAAAAAGCCAAAGTTACGAGGTAAAATGCGAAGCAATTAGTAGATTAAGAAAAACTTCACTACACCTACATGTAGTAATCAACATTATAAGTGTTACCAGGCCTGTCTAGCCTTGTACTAGCTATACAGGCTGAAACTTTAAATTTTTTAGTCGAGTAGTTATTAAAATCCTCTTCTGTGACTACTATGAAGGCTTGGAAAATTAGAAGGGTGGGATGAAGCTAGATTTTTTCCTACTTTAGTGAAGGATTTAACATTTTCCCCTGACAGTATTAGTGGAAAGACTTTCCACATTAACAACAACCAGTGAAGCTAACAGCTTCCTACCTTGGTTGGCCTTTGAGGGAAAAAAATCTATATTAAAAAAAAAGAAAATAAATAACAAGTTGTGTGGAACACCAACTCTTACATCCTTGAATATTGTTTTGCTTAGAAAGGAAAATACTGATTTCACTTCTTTGGGCTCTAAAATTTCCAAGAAATCGGTAAGTGTGACAAGTGAAAGACATGAAGGAGAAAAGGAAACACCCCCAAGACATAAGAAGAATGAGGAACACCATGGTTTCAGAACCTCATCAATTCTGACCCTGCATCCCGCAGCTCTGCCTGAGCAGACTGATGATGGGAAGCCTCTGAAAAAGTGACCTTAGAGAACATCTTACAGGACTGCAACGTGTGCGGGGAACACGCCCAACCTAAAAACAGCCTGGCCGAGGCCTTTACGGCCAAAGAAAATGAAAGCGTTTCGTCTGCTTCACAAGAGTCTGCAACACTCGTCAGTGAGGATTATGTAATGTCTCCATTAGTGCAAACAGCTGCCTAGTCTTTGTTAATCCCTGTTTCATTGTCTATCTGCTTTGTTCACGGAGACCTCAGGCGTCTCACCAGCAGCTTTCCCCAAACAAAAGAGTAGCTCAAAACAAAGCTGGTCATGACCGCAGGTACGAGACACAGCTGGCTGTATTTCCAGTTGCCTATAAAGAGAGAAATGTTATTCCAAGCAGCTTTTAAGAGTTTATTAGAGTTTTCTGGCAGTAATTGCTGTTGCAGCAATACTCTATAATGGATGGATCAAAGGAAGCTTCATCTCGGGCACCGAATAAATGACTTGGGGTTTAGGCAGTTTGTATTCTGGATTCATTTAATATGCTAGACCGAAGTGTTTTCATGCCTTTTGTGTGCTTGCCATTCATAGCATGAAGCTGCTCATTTAGGCAACATCAAGAGCATCAGGTTTCAATAAAGTCTCAGCTGTCCTCTTTAGACCCTCCTTGCCAGCGATGGGGCACCACATGTCCTGTGCAGAGAAGGGGTTGAGGAGCAGGTTTTCCTTCCTACTGGCATCCCTCTACTCTCTCCAGGAACAGTTAGCCAGACTGGATCTTAATATCACCAGCTCTGTGCTTGCTGATGAAAAAGCAACCCATTACCTTTACTCACATAAAGGTAATGTGAGTAAAGATGTAACCCCATGCAGTGAAGTCTGTTGAGATGTCCATTCAGCAGTAAGCAGTATCCAAGGGAATGTTCAAGAGCTTACAATGGAAAAACAAATCAGAATATTGTTTAGTGAATGCACCTCTGGGATGCAATGCCATAAAATCCATTTATGCAGCAGAAAGATAATGGCATAATCACCTGGAAAGAGTGGAAATTATAAAAAAATATGAGAAGTGTGATTAACCACTGGTAATGGCTTGCCTCGGTCAGGTCCATTTCTATAACTTGGTCTTCAAAAGCAAGACATCTGTCTTCAAATTATTCTTGCCCTTTAAAATAAATGAGGCCACATGCACAGTGACTAAGAAATAATTTTACAGTTTTTTATGAACAAAGTGATTTACATACATACCCTTCTCACCAACAAATGGCAAGGACCAGGTAAACACATCCATGAAGTTTGGAAGCCAATACGGATGAGGGGAGCAGTTGAACTGCCTGATGTTCATAACGTTGTTCTCATATTTCAATACTGCAGCTAGAAGGGAGAAATACAAGAGACATCAGCCATGTGTGTGACTGGCTATCAGACCAGGAACACTGACAGCACGCACAGCCCACAGAGCTGTTCAGCAGCTTCCACCCACTTGATCTACCTGAATGCTAGTTACAGTAGGATAAAGCCTCTCTGAAGTGGAAAGCCATTTTCCATCTGAAAGTAGTGTCAACAGTTTTCCCTGCCACAAAGATGGGCTGGTAAGTGAATTAATATCTCTGAGTAGTCAACAATGTGAGCTCTGGGATCCGCTACCAGTGAGGAATGAAGCAGAGCATTCAGAGCCCCCCATTTCACACAGTTATCTGAGCTCCTCACAACCATGCCTTGGAGATAACAGAAAAAAACATTTTTGACTCAGCCTGAATGCTGCTCTTCTGATGGGCATTTTCAACATATTTCATTCACAGTATTGTACAAGAGATGACACTCGCTTCTCACATTATGCAAACTCTAGGCACGGCAGACTGTGCTCCCTATAATATGAATCAATACTAATACAATTTGTCTTGCACCATTTAACATTCTCATCATTCTTATCAACACAGAAACACACAGACTATGTCTGTTCATAGGCAGAAATACAGATATTTATGCCACACCCGCTTTTTAAAGCACTGAACCAAGTTCAGTGTTAACTTTTGTTAATGGACTTCAGCCACATATCTGAAATGGTAATCCAAAAAGCTAATTTTGAGATTACCACCAAAGTGACTTAAAGACATGAAATTCTTTAAACAATGCAGTTACAGGAGACTGCATGGAGGATATTTAATCAACACAAGCAACAAAAACAGCCAACACAAGAAGAAGGAGTACTATTCTATGCTTTCCCCTTTTCTCCAGCCTTCCCACTTCTGGCTCCCCAGGGAGGAATATAGTTCCAGGGACTGGTTATCACTTAATAGCCAGCAATAAAGTTGCACAACTGCAATGTGAGGCAGCATTGTAGGAAATACAGTGTTGGCTGAAGGGGCTGAACAATTTCTTCTGATTATTCCTCTCTTTTCACTGACTGCATGTCAATCAGAGAAGAAACCTTCTTTTATGCTCTAGGCTGTTGCTTCACAGATACTTAATAGGATGTTAAATGTCTTCCATTTCATGGTCAATGACAGAGTCCAGAGTGAGCTGGGAGTTTCTGAAACATACTCACTGACAGACACAGAAAACAGCTTGCTAGCAATAATGTGAACATTTGCCAGGCAGACACCCTCCATTTAAATAAACCACATTTGACTATTGCCCATCCCAGTCTGACAACTGGCAGTCATTCTGCTGCTCAGTAGAAGAAAAAATGGCTTAATACTGCTATTAGCAAAAATGAGAAAACTAGTGTCAATGCTCTGAATATTTCCAACAGTCTGGCTGGAATCACATGCAGCAGATCGAAATTCATTCTTCTTCTATTACAGTGACACAATTGCATAATAAAAATAAATAGTTTGCGGCTTTACACAAAAAAATGAGTCAAAACCACACAAAAAGGACCACTTAATGGTTGTAAAGATTCATTTAGAAGTACTAAAACTCCAAATTCATCATCTTGGTGAGCTGAGGTAGTTCCCCTTCCCACTACTTCTTCAACTTATCTATTAAGTCCATTTCTAAATTCTGTGATATTTGAATAAAAAAATCATTTTTACAGGGAACTTTTAAAACTGGCCTCTGAAAAAGCCTGAAGCCTATGCAGTACAGTTGCAAAACATAAAATTAAGTAAAAACAGATTTAGTTGGGTTGTTTTCTTTGAAAGGAAGATAATTTAAGATTACTATAGTAAAAATATCCTCACAACACCTTATTAATTTGTATACCTGAATACCTTACAAAAGAACGTCCCGATAATAGTACTTTAAAAAATTCTCCCCTGTAAATGACCTGTACATCTCCTCAACAAATTACTTCAAAATAACTTTATACAATAAAGCAGGGTAATAACAAAGAAACCTTCTAAAATAACTCTCCTCTTGAAAGAATTAAATAAAGTAGGGTAGTTACCAGTATCACAAATACTTTCTGGCATTTTAAATTAAAAATCTGTAATTTACAAGCACAATGTACACAAAATATTTTCATTAGGTAAGTAATGAAGATGATATTTGACATGAAGCAAGTCAGCTCTTGTTATGATTGTACAGTTCTGATTACTACTTAGTAGTCAGAAGAGGAAAACTTCCTCAGGATCAAGCAGAAAATGCTTCTCAGGTAACAGTAGGTGTTTCTCTGAGCTTCTCTACCCCCTTTTCTTTGTGTTCTCTTTTTCCTCTCTGTTGGCTCAGAAAAGATTGGGGATTTCATTTCCTCGTTCCTTTGTCCACGTTATCTTGATGCCTAAGAAGCTACAGGAGAAGCAGCAGCCCGGAAAGAGTATGCAGCTTTTGAAGGTTCTCAGAGTGGAGGTCACACAGCCGCTGATGGAGGCTACAGAAGTGGGATGGGCTCCTTTGGTTATGAAACCCGTAAGAGAGGAAAACACAACTCTCTCCAACATTTGCTTATTATTCCAGGCTGCAACCTCAATACTTTTCTTTCCAAACACATACTCAGACAGATGCTAGCAGACCAAGCCACTAGCCATTATCATGTATAATCACCAACCAGAGAAAGAATCTTATTATTCTTAAAACACACACACATTTTAACCTAATTTTGATACTTGTTGTAAATATGTTATAAAAGCTAATGTTTTGTAAAGTGAAGATGTGCAGATAGCCTAAATGACATTACACTTATTTCCAATGCTAGTAAACTGAGATACTGGATGCTGAAATCACATCAGAGTGAAACGAAACACTAATGCAGCAGGCAAAGGGCATTTGTACTGTTTAGCTGAAGCATTTAACAGCTACTCTAAGGCTGGAAATACGGGTATTGAAAACTGTGCAGGTAGGAAACCTCCTTCCTTTGGCTAGAAACGGAGACAGCCCTTCTAGTCTTTTCAGGGTTATATACAGCAGCTAGTGCTGTACCTCTTTGGTCTCCCTCAGTTAAAGACGAGCCCGGAACAACTGTGTCACACCTGTCAGACATGAGTGGATGTCTCAGACCTTCTGGCATCTCAAATGCTGCTTTAAAAGATTATATATTTGGAGGTAGGTTAAGGCCTGAGCAACACTTAACTGTGTGACAGATAGTTCAGAATTTCTCAAAGACCATACATATCCTGCTTCACAATCTGCTGAATCATTTCTTGGTGTAAATTAATTGAAAACATTCCCATCAGAAAAAAAATAATTAGAGGAAAAAAATAATGAGCTTGGTAGAAATACCAGCCCAGAATATTTTTAGATGAACAACATAAATATTTTTAGCGAACAATTTAACTAATTTTCTTGTAATTCTCTTTCAGAAAAATCATTCTGCATTTAGAAAATGAATCAGTGAAAGTCCCTCAAATTCTTCACACCTATAAAAAAATTTCAATCTCTGATTTAATGCCAAATTAACTTCAGCAGTAACTGTGCAACTGGGAACAATGCCTTCTCAAGAAGAGTTGCTAAGTAACCACAGCATTTTCTGCCCAAGTCAGGTCAGGGATAAGGGTTTGTAAAATGCTCAAGGAGTTTAAATATTCTCAAAGGACAAAAATTATTTACCATACAAGGTAATGGTCTAAATAATCCAGTACAGAAGTGAAGATATTTGTAGGTGGAAACACCTTTCTTTATAAAATTTTGAAGACTTTTATTTTATGTGTGCCATCGCATCTTGCAAAGAAACAGCGAAGTAACATTCAAGATTTTATCAACAGAATGCAAAATCACTTTTGGCAAACTTCTCTGCTTCAGCAATGAGAAGGCCTAGATACCCTGACAACTCTTCTTTAAAAGCTTTTGTTTCAAGAATTCATCACAGCAGCAGAGATAACGCATTAAAGAAAACTGATAGGGCAAACAGAGGTTACATCTCTTTTCTTCCCCTCAAAGTGCTAATATTTCTCACAGATCATCCTTGTCTTCCAGGTATACTACTCAGTCTTCTTCCAGGCGAAAATAATTTTCCTGTTAGATCCGTCTGGATCAGGTACATTTCTTCATGTGTATCATCCATGTCATGCTTCATATGTTGATACTTTACACACACTGCACTGACATATTATTTATGATACATGAAGAAGCATAGAGATTTACAGATGGTTTTCATTTTTCTACCGTCACAAACTCTCCTGCATACTGACTTTCTTTCCCTGCTTTCCCTTTCAGAAACAACACATGCATATATTGCAGCATGTTGGAAGAAACTTCATGCTGAGATTTTTTTTAATAACTTTGGATTCTCTGGTGGCTCCCTCTCCACTACAAAACCTAGTATTCTAAAAGTGTTCAAAAGATAATAGTCTTTAAACAGCGAGTTAAAACTGTTCACTCAGCCAAAAAGCACACACTTACTGAAGTGACAGCCAGACACGAAAATGCCAGTACTATGAGTGTTTCACAAGTAACTTTTCTGCCTCTGCAGAATTTCTGAATAATCTTTCACTTGATTTTTTTTTTTATTTTTGGGGTGTGTGTGTACGCATAAACAGCATTACAGCAAGCCCTAATTAAGGCATTAAGAAATACTGAATGCAGGAATGAAAGTTTAGACATGATACAAGGCCAGATCATACCACATGGTAATTTTTGGCACCCTCTTATTCCGTTGCTATTGAGAATTTCTCCTAGTTATGGGGCACCCTGGAACCCAGGGGTAAATCTGTACTTACACAACTTTCTCAGAGTTTCTTGATCAGCACAGATGATTTCTGAAGTCACTGGAAACTACCAAAATCCAATTAACATTTATCTTCTTGCATAAACTTTCTCCCCAGAAACAGTAGTCATAGAAGAATCACTGGTATTTCTTGTAATGAGTATTAATAATAATCTTAAAATATCTTTATGCCTTTTAATAAAATTAATGAAAGCAGAAATGTTTGAGAAAGCTATGAAGACACTGAACAGTAGCTCAGAAGTTGCCAAAAACCATATAAAAATTCCTTCCCTTTTCCAGCTCGCCATTATAATGAATATGGAAGGAACTAATAACAGTAATGGAGAGGGATAATTACAGAAAAAGGAGGACACAAGGCTCCCAATATTGAGGCAGTTTCTGAGTCTGTGAATCACCTCCTGAAGCCTCTGTCTCCATTAACTACAGAGGGAAGCCCTGACAGGAGCCTCCTAATTGGAAAACCTCACTTTGGCACCCGAAGCTCTGTGTGTGTGGCCCGGGGCTGTGACAGCACCTGCATCCACGTGGTGTGTGAGTAACACACAGCCTGCACGAGGCCACAGCCAGGAACCAAAGGGATACAGAAAACTCCCCTTGGTGCCAGAATCCAGCAGTGCAAAGCCACAAGAGGTCCCCATGGTGGGTCAGCACTGTGAGACAGCCCATGCAGAGGCTCCATGGCAGCATGATTAGCAGGAAGTATGCTGAACATGGGCTTATTTGGGTATCTTCAGCCACTCCTGTCAAGCCTTCTTTTGCACTGAGACTGCTGCCTTCCTATTGTTCTTTGAGGACATATCTGATCCCATGGCTGCCCTCCAGCAGGGACTGAAGGAGCCCTTGGATAAAGTTGGCAAACAGGTCTACTCACAAAGTGCTTTGAAGAAGCTCAGAGCATCTGTTTTAATGGGTGTGAGAATTATCAACCTGGGGTAAAAAATGAGCATTCTTAGCCTTTTGCAGCTTTTAAAAAAATGTACTTACCTTAAACAATACTGCATTTAAAAATAACCCATTTCATGTCAGCGAGAGCTGGAGCCTCTCAGGAATTTATTCAGGGTGATTTTGTTGGCTGACAACCAGAGGAACACTGAGAATGCATACTAGAAAGGAAGGTGCTTACTAGTAGGAGAGTAACTCCTTTTTCAAGGACTGACAGTAACCAAACCTCCAGATGACCTGTAAAAAGCAATCATCACTGCATGATGAGTCAGCTAGAGCAACTGCCCTGACAACACCTCTGGATGGAAATATCTTCCTTTTTCTCCTGAAATCAGTCAGAAACTGTGCTCTCAGTTAATCCATTTGCTGCAAACCAAGGAAGCCAACAAGTAGCCATGTTTTGGGCTCATTCTATATGATAGTGGGTTTTTTCCTTGAAGAGGGAACCAAGCACCCAGAGACTGTCCAGATAAAGATGTATGAGCAATGCAGCATGAAAAACTGTGCATGATGTACTTTAAATGCCAAGAGCCAGTGCAATCAGTCACATGAAATAATGTGTCAAAACTTCTAATGAGAGAAAAGGAGGCAGATAAACTCAATGGAGATCCATTACAAAGCTGTTAAAGGTCAGCCTCTGAATTTACAACAAATTCTGTATTAAGGGGTGGCGCACAGGTGCTGATGCCACATCACTGCTGAATTGCCTGAGCTGTCTGACCAGGTATGGCTGGCAGTGCACACCAACTCCAGCTGTGGCCACAGATAACCAGCACCTCTCAGTAAATGGTGTATGTACAGCTTTCCATCAGAATGGGCTTTCCACCACGTATAAGACCTGCCTGCGACAAAGGAGCATCCTGGAACAAGGGAAATGGAGATAACAGAAGCACTTCTCTACCATGCAAACTGCCAAATTTCAAATTCAAGGCTTTGAACATTGTAAATCATTGCTTTCCATTTAACATTTGCCTTCGAGACAAAGTTTCCCATAATTCACCCATTGCCTTCATTGCAGAGAACTGCTTCCATGCCTATGAAACAAAAGGTGAACACTTTCTACCACCTTCCTTGTACAGACTTGTGATGGCTCAGCCTCCGACCTAAAGCAGCCAACCAGGAGAGTAAACACACTTCTCCACCAATAGCAATGATCTTACCAAGAAAATGAGCATATTTCTTACTTCATCCTGCACTTCTTAAGTTGCTAGCAGAGCCCCTACATCATTAACTTTTTCAGAAGTAGCTACTGACAGCTCTGCCTGCATGGTTTTGTAGAATAACACATTAATTCTTCCACAAGTAAACAGTAATTCTCAAATTAATGAGAAATTTGAGGTGTACAACCCCATTATGTACCAGTGAAGTGTTTCCTTTCCTTGCATACAGCTCATGGCATAAAAGCTTTTAGACTATAAATTTTATAAAACAAAATTATGCCTGAAGAAGCTTTCTTTTGCAAGTTAAAAAAGAAGTATTGCTTGCTTCCTCTGCAAACAAGCAAATTAAAAATATCACTTCTTAAGAGAAAATGATCTCTTTGCAAGGGAGCAACTTTCAATAATATAACTGAGAAAGAATTATTTTACTTTTTTCACAGAGGAACACAAATTATTTTATCGTTTGGGGACTAGGAGAAAGTAAACAATATTGCTCATTTCAAGATACAGGAAGACAGGTTTACTAGAAAACTTAATTTTTAGAAACATAATTCTTTTTTTCCAGTTTATTAGAGATTTCCAGAAATGCAATAAATTAATAAATTCAGAGAAGCTGCAAAGAATTTTGTTCAGTGGAGCCTAGTCACAGTGACCAGTGACTCTAATTTCTGTAGTAGCTATTTTTTTTTTTTTTGGGCTATTTATATTTAGCTTTCTCCACTTCAGTGGTCAAGGATTAAAAACCCAAAATGTAAAAGAACACAGACATCCATCCCATGCTTTATCCACTTATGATCTGTTAAAGTTTAACTGTCTAGACAGTTTGCACATACAAACTCCAATAATTTTATTGGAAAGAAGCAAGAAACAGACAATTAATTATAAGGAACACTAGGCTCTAAACATCTCACCCAGAGCATTTCTTAATATACTTCTCTTAGTTAATAGAGCTGTTTTAAGTTTTGCTTCCCGTGAAACATTTACTTAATAACTTGCAGTCAAAATACAGGAATATCCTAAGGCATATTAAAATATAGTTATGTTCAGAGACATACATCTGCCAGCAATGAATTTAATTAGATTTGTATTATATAATAAGTGGAATGGGCATGAACTGATAAAGGAATGAAAAGACACCAACATAATCGAGTAAACAGAAGAAAAGTCTATTGTACATTAACAGGAATTCTTACCTTTGTTATTGTATACATCTAGATAGTTTGGTGCTGAAAAAATTGTGATTAGCGAAGGGAAGCCTGTTGTTTGGCTTTTCCTGTACATACGATACCTAAGAAAGAAAAGATGCCAATTACTGCCCAGCACTCAATGTATATTTGTCACTGACCACATACAGTGCAAAAAATTGCCTAGTACCTTAGTGCTCTGGCTGTTAACAAATGCCAAAACTGAAAAACACGCATAGAGCTATTTAAAAGCCACAGGAAGGAAGTATTTCCTGCAAACCTTCTCATTATAACCACTTGATATGACCAGGGATGCATGCTTCAAAGTTGCGTCTCTGTCTGAAATTCAGTGAGCCAGAGGTGGAAAATTTGCTGTGAATTTGCTCAGTGCCCAGGACATTCCCAGAGTTTCCCTCTGTGGGACTGTGTGTGAAGCGAGCACCAGCAGGTGCCTGGGGAGGGTCCTGCCTTCAGAAGGGAAGTGTGCATCCTCCCTGACCCTCCCACTGCCTGCCCTCTCCAGGCATGGAAGCAATGGCAAGGCCAGGGGACACAGGTGGTGTGAGAAGGGAAGGGGAAAGAGGGCATCTGAAACTTTCAGTGCTGTGTCTAATCTTATCCACTCTATTAGTCAGTTTATTTATGCCTGCATGTTTTCATTACCTAACCTTATGTCCTCATAAAAAATAAAGGCTTATTGGACCAACAAATAATCAAACATTAAACCTAAAAGTAATTGGAAAGAAAACAACCAAACAGTACTTAGACACAAGTACACTAATCATCGTTCTTTAGTCTCAGCTACAAGAAACCTAAGAATTTAGCCAACATCCACAAAAGTTGCACTGAAACTGTTGTATAGTTTCAATGCAATCTCTTCCACAAAATTTTATTTTTCATCCTTTATTGGAAAGCAATACAAGAAAAATGAAATTTTGTTACCCTTGCATATCTCATGCTAGGTATTTCTGGCATAGTAAGTTTGCTTTTAATTCCATTACCATTTTGAAGTCATGACAATTCAAACATTCAGAACACCTTTTTACATGCATAGTGAATACTGACCTTATTCCTACAATGCCACTAATTAGTATTTTATTGCCATTCAAGCTGCATAAAGTTTTAACCTCCAAACATAATAATAACAGCAACAACAACAATAATAGTAAATGCATTATATCCAAAGCTGTTTATTCAGATTCCAATCCTTCATTAATATCTCACAAGTATGGTACATTTCAAATAAGAGGAATTTTTAAAGTAATTTTTTAATGCAGCACAAAAAATTCTAACTTTATAATGACAATAGTTTTATGGGGAACCATCACCACTACCTGATATTTGACCTGTACTGTTTTTTCATGCAATGGCTTAGATTTCTTGAATTCAGTAATGATACTTTGCAGAAAAATGTATGTGCCTATTGAGTTCCACAGTTTTATTTTTTTTTTTAGGAAGTATAAAACTAGTAGGCCCAAAAGTTTCAAGTAGCTGAGAAAGTCCTAAAAGATGGCAGTTCTGGCCTTTATGAGCCAAATAACTTCTCTGGCATCATGGCAATCAGTGTGTCAAAAGACTCTGCCATATTCGCAAACCTTTTTCTGAAATGATTTTTTTTTCTTTCCATGTGTGGCATCCAAAAAATTTGGTCATTTTATATCACTTAAAATCACCAAGGCTAAGTACGTGGCCTATATAAGGATTCATTATATCTTGTAACTCACTAATAATATAAAAACCATTGTAATGCCAGTGCGCATTTTTTCAGCATTAGTAAAATGTGAGAGCTGTTGCAACTTATATTTTCCAGTTCATTCTCAGTTCAACTCAGCTGCTCTTCCTTTCTGTGCTCTGTTTGGGAATGGTAGGCCATTATACATAATTATTATTATTGCCCCCTCTCCACACACACTTACCCAGCGTCCTGGGCTTCATGAGCTCGGAGTATGGATAACAAGTTATTGTGCTGTAGGAATTCACATACAGCAGGGTAACTGTCAGAAAAAAAGTAATAGCACCTGTTATGGCATTATCAGAAGCAGCACACAGAGCTCTAGCTTTCAAAAAATGTATCATAAAACATGCATCATTCATGAAATCAGCGCCTGCTCTGCAGGCAGATTTCAGTAGAGACAACATCACCAGCAGTGGCTTTTTAATGCCACCCCATAACTGCATGGAAAGGAATGCTACAATCTGCAATTCATTACATAACAACAATCAGCCTATGGCTTGTCAGAAAAAAGGTACTTTCTCTTATTACTCTAAGATTTCATGTACTCTAAAAAAGCAAAATGTAATACAACAGTTGCTTGCAACAGAAAACTTCCCCCACTGACTACTCCATGCAGTGGCTGCTTGTGACGCCAGAAAATAAGGTGGTTAAGTGGAAAGAGAGGGAAAGAGACAGAAAGAAGAAGAGCAAATCAATCTTCAAACTGGGGATGTTTATCTTCCTGAGCTTTATCTCCTTGATAAACAAATTATCTTTCTCCTTGGCAACTTAAAATCCTATGACTTCTGAAACCCCAAAAATGTGCTCACTAAATACATCTGAGCTAAACATGCTGAGCAAGATAAAAAAAAGTAAAAAATTTCAACTATACATTATACAAAAAACTGCTGTCCCAGGCATGATTTCATGGACCAACTCAGTCCACTTGCAATCAGTTTCTAATTTCATGCATGAAAAAGATGAAAACTTACACAGCCCCTCCCCCAATCTAAAGCACCATCTTCCTTTAGTTTATCCAAGAGAAATTATAGTGCTTCCAAACCTTCCTGGGTATTTTGAAGCTGAAATGTCATTTGCAGCTAGAAGCTACAAACGCAGTGGAATGCTATATTGCTGTTTCTGGACTTGAGCCACCCAGCATATACTCTCAGATGCAGGTCTCGTATTTGGAATTGTCTAAAAGGATTGTCATTATAAACCAATTTCAATTCCCGGATTACGTGGGGTATCGTTTTGGCAACTGCAATGATCTCAAATGCTGACAGGCTGCCATTCAAACCACTGGCAAAGGAGAACTGATTTGCATACATTTCTTTTCATAATTAATTGTGACTAAATGTAGACTTATGGTACATTTTGTTTAGAAATTTTTACATTAACTTCTGAAAACTGGGGTCTGTCATGAAAATCTGATAGACAGTTGATTATGTTCATTATCAGTGCAGCTGCTCAAAATGTCTAGGCTATTACTTTTTTTTTCCTCCATAGTATTCTTTTCACCCAGTGTTAGGTACAGCTTTTAAAGAAGATATAATGAAGTGGTAAAAAATGCTCTTAAATAGATACGATAACTTCTTCTTCCCATTTCAAGTACAAAAGTCGTGGGGTTCTTTATTGCTTAATTATCTTGTTCTTTATGAATCTGTGTAAAATAAGACTTCTAGCAGAATTTGGCTGATTCCACAGGGCCCACACCTACAAAGGCAGAGAAGTCACACAGTGCTCCATGCAAATTTACTAAAAAACCAATTTGCCTGTCTTCTTTTCTTACAAGTGAATAGCATGGGACCATCAAAGTACCAGCTACTCTTTTATCCAGACCACCACAACCCATGAACAGTCTATCTGGATATTTCATTTTGAAAAAGGCAAAGCAGCTTGCAGGCATTTTTCTTGAGCTTCTTGTTGAAGCAGGGACTGGGGAGAAGCAAACTTTCTATCATTTGCAGCTATCACATATGCTATCCCACATTTCTTTAGTATCTGTTTGCTTTAGATTAAACAATATTCCTTAACACAAAAGTACATATCATAAAAAGAGGTAAAAATAAGAGCTCTTCTACAAAGAGCCAACAAAACCAACAATATGGCAAAAGTTATCAGAAATAAACTTTTACAGAAATTATTTCTGCTAGGAAATCTTTTTTCTTATCTTTTTTATTAAAATGGCTGACTTGCAATCAAATTCCCTACTGGTTTTTCACAGCGCTATCCCTCCAGAAACACTCTTCTCCTTGCCCTGCTTTGCAGAGCCCAGACTGCAATTCAGATGATCCCGAAATAAAGCAGTTGGCCAAGAGGGAAAACAAACAAACAGGAATCCCCCACGCAACAGGCTTTTCCAGAGCGACCCAGCCTCCTGCCTTCATGCTGAATCACGCAGGAGTGGTGACTCACAGAGAAAACAAAACACCCTTCTGCTAAGCTGGAGAGATGTTATTCCCCATGGAGTACGTGACTGTGATACTCCCTACTTGGGCATCTTCTTTCATTAGCATGCCTCATGCATAGTTTACCAGCTCTGAGGTCTCTTTTGCATGAACACTGATTACTTCTGGGCAGTTTTAAAAGAGAAGCAATTCTCTGCTAACATGAACCAAAATGGTAAACGTTTTCAAATTGTTTTTCCACCAATAACTGGAAAAAATAGATGGAATTAACATAATTTTTTTTCATATCCCTCATCATGCCATTGGAAGAGAGGCATAAGTATTTCTTTAAAAAGAGAACATTCAAATTTAGTCCAAAAGCTTCTACAACATTACATGCACATATAAAATAGGTTTCCTGCAAAATCCATTGGCCTTGCACTTGAGTCTCCAAAGGCAAATGCTTTTGCTGCTGTCCTAAGCAACTCTCAGAACATCCCCTTCCACCAGCTTTTGCTTGCTCTTAGCTGTGCTGTCTGCAGAGCTGCACTGGGAAGTGGAACAGGGAACTGCACAGGATTAGAACAAATAAACACATCTTTTTTGCAGAGTCATTCTTTTAAAACTGGATGCTTTCCCATGCCTGATGGAGCACACAAGCAATTCTGCCAGTACATCTGGGCAGACCATGTGAGGGCAGCAAAAAGCTTCTGGCCTGGGAGAAAGAAGAGTAGGGAAGTGGGCAAAAGAATCTGTTTAAAATGCTAGTAATAAAAAAAAAAAATAAAAAAAAAATTAATACAACTGTGCCTTCCACCCTGAGCTGAAATACACTACAGTCTTCAAAAGCTTTCAGCAGACATTTCTTTAATCTTTGCATATTGACAAACTGAACTTGCATGTCAAGTGCACCACTGAAATCATGTGCTCCTAGGGCCAAAATTATTACTCTAGCCCAGAGTATCTGTAAGCATTTCACTGCTATCCAAGGCTGGCAAATATTTCTTGAACACCTGCAGGGAGAGTGACTCCACCACCTCTCTGGGCAGTCATTCCACTGCCATTCCAATGCCTGACCACCCCTTCATTGAAGAAGTTCTTCCTGGTGTCCAACCTGTTTCTTATAAGAATGCCTGAGAGTTTCTGTACCACTGGCCTAAGAAGTGCAAAGGGTCATTGGCAAGATCAGTACAAATTACTACGTGCAAATAAATATTTGCTAGCAAAATTCAAGGTAAGAACTAGATAATCTGGTAAACAGGAAAACTTCTTTACTAGATAGATCAGCTGAAAAACTGTTTGCCTGTGGGTCTAATATCACTCTGTGACAAATTAATTCCCTCTTGTTTGTAATACACTTGGAACACAACATTATTTTGGGTATGGATGAAAGAAAAGCTTAACTCATAATAAAAGAGCAAATTAAGCAACCTGCACTCCATTAATTATTTCTACTTTTTCACAAAATTGCATCAACCATGACTACAAAGGACATACAATTTTAAACTTCAGATAAGGAAAATTAAATCCCATCCGTATCACTTTTTGTTCTCTTTAAGGTACAGAAACTTTAATATAGTTTCATGAATTCCTTATATTTCGCAGTTAACATTTCACTTTGGCATTGTGCTATTTTGACAATCCACAGTACAAAATGCTGCTAGATGCTAAAGGTGCGCATTAAGTGTTGACTGAGCACTTCTGAAAATCAGGCTGACTATCTTTTACATCTCTAAATGACAGGGTATGCCTACGGTCTCAAGATCTGACATTTTACAACTAGCCACAACAGCTTCAAGAATTCTTACATAAAAGGACGTTTCTTGAAGAAATACTGGATCAGTTTGAAATTCAATAGGCTGTATGAGAGTGATCACGTACGAAATGCAGTGAGAAGCCTGTCAGACTACTGTAAGCTACAGTCTTTATACTTTCTCATAGAAACAGCCCAACATTTCACAAATGGGTTTTGGCTGAATGCATAGGATTTCTGAGATGGAAGTTCCAGTTAACAAGATGCATGCACAGTAAGAAAGCCACATTACTGTTTTTTTTCCTCACAGCATTTTTGTATTAGGAAATAACTTTAAGTCAGAGCAAAGTAACTTGCAACTTGTCATTATAATGAACATATCCGATAAATAAAAGTTCTTTATGACAGATATTTCTTGCAATTAATTAGGAGATCTTAATAATACTTTGACTGATTCACAGATATGACTGAAATCTTCCTGACCTCCATTCAAAATCCTCATTGCTATCATCTTTTAACTTCCTGTTCTGGAAATGACTGAAGAAACTTAAGAAATTTTATTCAGTGCAGAATAAACACAATCATTCTATCAATAGGCATTCCTGAAGGAGGACTGAGTAATTCAGTCCTTCCTTTACAAGCTGAGCTGGCTGTTTAGGAAAATTTGTTCCTTTAATCAGGAAGTAACTAGAAAAGGCAAAGAAAATTAGACATTCCACATTGATGGATAGCTTTTTTACCAGGTATAATCATTAGGCAAGCAATTAGTCATCTTCCAGGGCAACTAGGTACTTCTTTTAAAAGGAATGCTTGTCTTTATATAATCTCAGATAACGTGACTCCAAACTAGCCTTCTAATTGAATCATTAAACAGTTACATGTCCTCACACATGATCTGATAATTAGCTGTCTTCTGAGTATTTCCTCTTCTACTGAAACATGCACTTTTCTGAATATGCGTCAGGACACAGACTAGGTCTGATACATTCTCTGGAGGAAACTGATATATATATTAAGGGAATTTTATGGCAACTGTATGGAGCAGACATCTGAAAAAACCCCAACCTAAAATCTAGAGGTTTTTCCAGTAGATACGCAGCTCTGTATTTAAGCACAAGCCATGTCTGCCAGGGTATTCATGACAGGAAATCACTATTACCTGCATGTGCAGTGCCTGGAAGTCTCAGGTACACACCAACATTTGCTGCTGCTAATCATAAAAATCATAAGCAATGATATTACCCCTCAGTCTCAGCCCATTTCTGCACTGATCAATTGTTTGCAGCAGTTTGCCATTCCTTTCATGATGAGCCCAAACACATCTGCTAAGCACCTTCCAAACATCACGGACCCAAGTGTGGCTGTCAGACTTCCCCAGCGGAGACAGTTCCAGCAGCCCAGGCTGTGGAGCAAACTGCTCTGTTCTTAGCTGGCCCCACGCTGCAGCAACTACAGCTCCAAGAAGGGAGCAGGAAATCTCGTTTCTTAGCATCAAACCATCTGCTACCTTCCTGGTAACACTACCGACAAGGAGGCTGATTCCAGTGGCTCTGTCACCTGGCTGCTGGTGGAAGCCATTGATTTACTTTTGATATGTTACCAAACAGCTACAGTCAGCGTTCAAGGTGAGATTTTCTAAGGCAAGTGAAAGAGCTGGATTCCTCCCTTCTGCTGAGTTTGTAGAGAAAACTTAGATTTGTATGTAACTAGCATGGGCTGAAGCAGAACTGCTTCACTTCAAGAAGTTCAACAACCTCTTAACATTTCAATAGCGTCTTCACATTGCTCCTGAACAAAAATGGAATTTTTAATTAATATTTCACTGAATACATTGCTAATTTTGCCATTTAACCTCCTCCCCTCCTAGTTTTGCTACTCTGGTGTCCCTGTATGTTGTTCTTAACTACCAGAATAAATAAAAAAAAGAAGTCCAAATTCCTTACAATCCCCACACTGTCAAAGGAAGGGAGATACGTGTTTCCGCAAGAATGACACAGGCACTTGTCTGCATTTCAGATATTATTACATCCCATTTAACAAATGCTCTTCAAATTCTGAATTTCTTAAGAAAAATTATTCCCAAACAAAAAAAAATAAAAAAAAAATTGTTCAAACTGAGAGGAAAAAAAAAGTACCTCTGTGGGGGAAATTACTGTTTTTATTTACCCTGCAGAACAATAGGTAATCAGTTTTCCAGTGCTGGCACCTTTCACTGGAAATTAAGTTTTGACTTTCAAACTAGAAATGCAGTTATGTACCCCGTTTTAAAAATGACACATTCATTCTCTAACTTAAAAGAACAGAAATAAACAAAATACACGGGCTTTGGTGAAAATTAAATTTAAGTGATTTAGAATTTCCCCAGTGTGGCATAAGAGAAGAGATTCAAATAAAGCAAGCATGATTTTTTTTCTGAAAACAAGGTTAGCCTGCAGAAAAAAAGGCCTAATTACCTAAGCAGTGCCACAAAGTTCAAGCAAACATTTATACTGCAAAACCAGAACCAGTTCACCAACAGAAAACTACTCAAAGTAGTAATAATCACCTGTAGAAGTACGAGCACCCCCTGACTGTGTTGTGAGTAAAGTGTTCCTGAGTCTTCTCATTTCCAAAGTCCTCCAACGGGTCTGACCACAGGATGTCACACATAGGTCCATATGCAGGTGGTTCCTTGAATCGATCTAACTAAGAAAAATAGGAGACAAAGAAATACTAACTTCTTTCAACTATGTATCACAGAAACATTGAAGCAAAATTACTGTTTTTCATTGCATGATCAGGCGAAAAAGAAACTCATAGCAGTCTGTTCTTCAGCTTTAAAACAATGGAGTTTGAGTAACAGCAAAACACTCCTTGCGAACACTGACATGGGATAGAGGGAACAGATGCAACTGAAAATTAAGAGATACAGTGGATTTCCATTCTATATTAATTTTTTGGGGTTTTGTTTTTGCCTTTTCTACTGGTTTTAGCAAGCATTCCAGTTGACAAGGGAGAATATAATATTTCTGTATTTCATGATTTTTCAAACCTTAAAGCATTCAATTTATGTAAGTAGGGCACCTCAAGAAAATACAGTAGTTATTTCAAAGCAAGTTCCCATTTACATTTATGTACATTTTCACAAAAAATTGTATCTAAATATCAAGACAATATCTCTGCATTACAGCATCTTGACATGACATTCCTGTTGCTCCTGTAACCTTAACCCTAATTAAGAAGCTAAAAACTTCTCTTTCTGGTCTTACTATAGGTAAACTTTTAAAACTTCAAATTACAGAGAATCATACCACAAATAAGACGAAGTATAGCAAAATAATAAAGTAATAAAAATCAGTATTCTCCGGCAAGAACTCTTTAAGATAAAAACACCATGTGTTATCTCAAGAATTCTTTCATATAAGAACAGAACTGATAAGATGGAGTATGAACAAGGCTTGCAATCTGAAACATTCTCTATTTTGACTGGAAAGATCAAGCAATGATTCAGTAGCTAGCAGATACCTTCTCCACTCCAAAAAAATTTCAAAGAGAACAAACTGGTTTTGTAAGTTTCCAACACTCGAAGTTTTAATAAGAGATCTCTACAATTTTACCTTCGCATTTTCATCTTGACATATTCACAGCATATCTACACGTCTTATTTCAGCCCTCTCCAATTAATACTTGTGTAATTACAATTCCTTTAAATTAAACAAAAATTCATAAATATGCAAACCCAATTTCTGCTGATTGCCAAAGATAAATAAACCCGCGGGGCTGGGCAGGGGGAAGGGAAGGTGTTAATGAACCTAATCTAGAATCTGAGAGCTAAACAACTCTACTCTGCCATTATGCTGTTGCAAAGCCAGCTAATTTTTATGCAGAGTATTTTTGTTTACTGAGATAGTGAACCTTTACCTCAGAAACAAAACTTTGCATTCAGTAATTTTTTAAAGTGCAGTTAATATCTTAAGCTAATTGCTTTTAAACCAAAACATGTAATTACTGGCTCAATTTGTTGTTTTTTTTAACTATATTCATTTCTCAGTAGACTACAAATTAACCTCAGAATATAAATTACCTTTTACTAATTTGAAAGCTTAGAAATATATATCCGTGTTTGAAAGTCTCAAACAGCAAACAAGATGTATTTTTTTTCTGAAAACAACTAAGAATTAATGGTTTAAATATCCCTTCTTAGAAATATCAACTGAGATATCTTCTACAAAACACGTGAATAAAAAATTAATCCTTGATAACACGCAATAACACTGGAACATGTGAAGAAGCCATTTGACATTGTTCTCTGAACTTCTAGGACATTTCTGAGAAACTTCTCAGAACATAAGAGTACACAAGCATGAACTTACTAAGGCTCAATCAGACTATCTGCTGGGCACTCAAATACCAAAAATATGGCTGGACTTATTGAGAATGAAGCTCTTGACTATTTAAAAAAGATACCAACTCCATTGATTGCAATCACATGAGCTTTACTTGTTTTATCTTTGTATATTGAGAGATTCTTCTAGACCTCTTTTGTATCTTCTCCAAGAAAGCACAACACTTAACATGGCACAAGGAGTCGTCCAATGGTGCTTACGTTGTGCTAATGTGTAATACCTCAAAGACTTACTTTTCTGATGTCATCTAAGGTGTTGATCTCCGGAGACAAGCCACCATGTACACACAGGAATTGTTGGTTCATCAGAGCAGCCAAGGGAAGGCAGTCAAAGGCATCCATGCAGGCATCATATACACGTTCTGAATATTTGATTTTACCTTTTAAAAATTAAGATGGTAATAGAAAGCACCATCAATATTTAAGAGGAAAAAGGAATATGCTTAATACCTCAAACCTTTTCTCTCACTATTCTATCTGGTGTTGAGGACTGTACCCAAACTCTTGCTTCTTACAAAAATATCTTCAGGAATCCACTGCTGGAAAAATTCTTCCTGTTCTGAGGTGAAATTAATAAAACTTTATCATATTTTTTCTAAAAAACTGTAAACAAACAACTGAATATACCATTACAGTCTACCATTTTTACTCAGTATGAAATCTGTAGAGCAAGCCTTAAAACATCTGCTGAATGGTTATCATCATTATCACTCAATATACTCTCTATGAAATAGTCAGAACTTTAGCCCAGTCCCTTATAATTAATTATCTACAGAAATGCCATTATGAAATGAATGAGGTGGTACAATGAAGCCGAAATGTTAATTTACCAATATGCATTTAAACTCAGTAAACCATGAAGCCTTTGAGCCAATTGACATTTCCTTTATCCCCCTTGTAAATAAGAAACACATACTTGAGGCCACTGTTTTATCTTACAGTGTCACAGGGGGAAAAAAGCTTCAATGTGCAGGTAAAGGTCTACATCTAATGAGCTTTTATGTGTCACTGCATCCTTTCTTGCAACACAGAAAGGAATTCATATAAAAACAGCACATTGAGATGTTTAAGCATACACAGGATAAATGAAAAAATGCTATACCTAAAGGAAAAACTAAAATAAAGATTCCCTGTATTTTTCTCCTGCTCCATGAGATAAGGCCCTCCTTAACTAGCAGTCAGGAACCTGACACAGGTGCCAGGGCTGGTGTGCCAGCAGGTTTTGCCTGCCAGGTTGCTGCGTGGGCAGCAAACCCTCAGCTGCTGCAAAAAGCGTCAGCAGCAGAACACATTTACCAAGAGCATCCAGGCCCAGATGGACCCACAACAGCCCCAGGATGCTCCCACACCAGGCTGAAAAGCTCACATGTGTGGGGCTCTAAGCCCTTCCATTCCACACCACTGAGAGGTGACTGCCCTCTCAGGGAACAGGGATTTAACAACAATTTAAAATTAATGGCTGGCAACATGAAAAGTACATGAAAATTTACTAATAGTGAACCGGTATCAAGTATTTTTAAAATTACAAATTAAGTTGCTGAAAAAGGAGTTAAGAGGAGAAAGGTAAGATAGACTTACATTCTTGCTTAAATGTGAAATACTCTGTTAAATGTCTACATTCATGGTTCCCACGAAGTAAAAACAGTGTTTTGGGGTAAAGGATTTTCAAGGCCCACAAGTACAGCACACACTGCGAATCAGAACAAGAAAGTAAAAACAGAATTCATAATTAGTGACAGAACGATTTACATTCCCCTTCATCACAAAAAAAAAGCAGAAAAAGTAAAATTTGTGCAAAGCATTTATTTTCAACTGATGAACTTCATTCTTCATATACTACATTCAAACACCTCTCTGTACTTCAGCCTGGAATGACTGGAGCCCATGTGGGTATATTCTGATAGTATTTTACACTTTTTGCTGAGTGACACTGCCGTCAGCAGCCCCAGCTCTCACACACCAATTGCTGTGCATCTCTACAATGAAGTGCACGCTCTCCACCTGGAAAGTCGTGCAGAAACCTTCCGTGGAAACAATTTCACCGGAAGACCTGCATTTCCTGGCTTAAGGAAAATCTGCCTCAAAACAATTTAACTCACACTTCAGGAAATACCTCAGCTTTCAGCTTGCTCATTTTTCACTTAACATTGTTCTCCATATACAATGGGGTAAAAAGATCCACAAAGCTCACGCATTAAATGAAGTTACTACCAAGCTTTTACGATGCCTTTTCTCTTTCCTAAAGATTTCTATTTGAGGTGACATTTCTTCTAGACATGTTTTTAAAGATTAAAAAAAAAGACTTGGAGAGCCTAAGCTCTGCTCAGACCTTACTAAACCACCCAATTAAAAATATTTGTTTCAAAAACGAGCTCACAGCTCCAAGGAAGTTGATGGAAATAAAACCCACTCATCCCATGAGATGAGCCCACTACCAGCAAGGACACTGTAGAGATCACAGAATCCTCTCAAAAACAAGAAAGCTAGAAAAACTGTCTGAATGGTTTTTCCTCCATCCTTTCCTTGCTTATATAACCATGAACTGCAGAAATGCTGTACAAGAAACAAAAGGTGTCAAAACCCCCCACTTCAATTTACATCTACTTCCTAAGACTCCTCTCTGTTCCATTGGGAAAAAAAAGTAATTTAACTTAATAACCAATAGACTGGAAATTCAGAATGCATTCTGTTGTTTTGGAGTAGAACAACATCAGCATTCCTGTAAATGTAATGCCTCTACATTATAGTGTGGATTCCCTTCTGCAATTCAGAGTGCCTTGAAAAACAGCTGAATAGAAACTTTAATCATCTCAACATGTAGATTTCAGCTACCTTTTTTGCTACACAGTCAACTCATAAAAAAAAAAAACAGGAAAAGAAGGAGGGATTCAGTATTAAAATGTCTGTGCTCACACTACCAATAGATAATCACACCGCAGCAGGAGTTTTATACTACTCCTCACTGCCTTGAGTTTATTACATGTAAACTTCTGAATGCTTCATCTGTTCTTTATCTGTAATTTCTGTTCTTCTACTCAGAGGGCCTATAGACAGAGGAAAACAGCAAAAATACAGGCAATATATTGGAGGAATTGTAAAATTAATTCTCCTCCTTGGAAACACATGGAAGGCCTCCCAGCTCTTCCAATTCTTCCACATCCCTGGCACTACTGCCACTGCAGGAAGCAAGAAAGAGATGTCACAATGCCAGGGAAATCATGCTAATGTAATCCACCATGGAATTATGGTGTTAGGTCACAGGAATCATCTGTTGTGGCTCAAAACAACCACAAAGGGTGTGCCTGGATAAAGTCTTCTGTCCCTCTGTAAACTCCAGCAGGTTTGAGGGTTTCACTCCAATGGGGCAAGAAACCTGAACTTGTCCGCACCATCAGAGCAATTCTCTCTTTTTGATGATGACTCCTTCATTTCTCCAACAATTTACAGAACCTTCCACTTGAAACTTAGAGACTCATGCAAAAATTTCATGTAAATGTTGTGAGAGAAGTTTAAAGAGACATCCCCACCCATGCAAGAAAAGCTTCAGCTTTTAAAGTCATATCCAAGTTACGTTAGGAGCTTCTAATCCTGCCAACACACTTTTAGAAAAGCACAATTAGTGATTAAATTAAATGGCATATTAAAAAAAAAAAAAAGTAATTTACATTGCCCTTTTAAGTTTTTCACTTTCCTAAAGCTCTGGCAAAATTTAAACAAGCACTACATATTTAAAATATTGTCCAGATCTGGAAAGCAGGGAAAATAAAGAGAGACAGAATTAACTTTTTGGCATTAGGTATTTGTTTACAGGTTGGTAGCTCTTTATTTGCTTATCATAGATTTATTCTTGTTTTTTTCTATGCTTCCTTTGAAGTACTCATGAGAACCAGACAGAAGGTAACAGAGGATCAATACAGTTCAGAAAGTTCTAATTCTCTGCCACTATTCAAGCAATGTAAGCCCACTATTTACATTTTTTGTTTTCAGCAATACTATATCAGGCATTTATTTTGTTTAGACGATTCCTTTAATTTGCTCCCTTATCCTTTCAGTAGTTCAGTGATGTTGTAATAGTAAATAAGAACTAATTGGAAGAGTTTTTTCCATGCAAACTAATGAGAAAATATGAGGGCAACGATTTTCATGGCTTTTCAACTTAGCCATTTACATACAAAAAACGCTTATGTTCAAACAACAAATCATGATCAAACATTCTGGTTTTGATTTTTTTCCTACCTGTGCTTCACATATCATAATTCTTACTGGAGTCAGAATATTTATGATAAATTGTCCTTGTTAAAAATCTAAGCTACAGATCTTTAAGTATTTTGTAATACTGCTTCCCTGACATAGAATTTTAAAATACCTTTCTCACTTCAACTTTTTCATTAAGATCATACTGAACATCAGCTCTGCTGTACCTCTATGCAAAATGTAGTGAGCACCTTGCGATCTAGACATCTGTAAGGTATTTTTGCCTGTCTCATTTCAACCTATATATATATATATATATATATAAAAAAGAAGTTATAGTTCTTAGCTGAGTATCTGAGTATCCTCAAACCCCTCTTACTTATTTTGTATCTTTCAGCTGTTGAAATTGTAGATAAGTTTGTAACATAGAGGTAATCTGTCCACCTCTTAGCTTCCCTAGTCAAGCTGTTTGCCTGCTGAGGTTCTGGCAGCCTCAGCTTCAGGAAAGAAAAGGTCTGTGCAATTAAGCACTGTGTAAGCCAAAGGCCCACATTTTCAAAACATACTTGGGATTTAACTCCACTGTTGCATGCTGAATTTGAGTATCTGCACAATTCCATATCTCAGCCCCATCCTGGAAAAGAAAACCAAAGGCCCCACAGCTCTTCTATGCATTTCATGCTATGTGACTAAAGCAAGGAGCCTTGAAAAATCATCACCATGGCCGTTTGATTATAACCACAGCAGCACAGTGCTCACTTCTGGGTGCTCCAGCATTGGTAGTGCCAAGGACGAGAGAGATGCAGCTCACTGCCAGCTGTGTGGCTTCGCATTGACCACAAAAGATGAACTACCCCACCAAATGACTGACAGCACTGGGCACTCCTCCAGCAGAGAAAATAAAGTGTGAGTAAGTGTGAGGTAATTCACACTTGAAAGAATAATTTGAGCCACACACTGATGCTCTGTGACCTGTGGAATTGGCATAGCTTTTGCACTAACACACACCTCACCTAAATACAGAAATTGGATTACTTTAGGTGCACTGAAATAATGATGCCATCACAGTACCTACTAGAGATACAGCTTTCTAAAATGGAGTATCACAATGGAAACCATGTACCTTTTCACACACGTAGCTGCATTCATGCTACTGGGGTGACTATTTATTATGGCAGGATTTCAGAGACAAATAAAGGTACATTGCAGCTGTAACCAGAATGCTCATAAGAGACACAGCTTACTGCCATTTCTGAACTACTATCCCTTGAGCACAAAGAAAATTCTGAACACCACTGCAGATTAAAAAAAAAGTCATATTGTCTTCACCACAAGCAGGATTGCAGCAAAATCACAATATACTGTTTGCTAAAGTTTATATCACATTACTCCCCTTTCAGCCTTTAGAAATAATATCTGAAAAGATAAAAAATATCCAAAAAGAAGTACCTCTTTTTCAACCGGAAAGTGACTAGGAAATTATTTTTCATAAATGTTCCTCTAACCCTCATAGCTAGTACTTTCTAAACAGGTATTCAAGTGATGACTCCTAACTCTCATTTTTGGGACCTTGTGTCTAGGCCACAGCTGTTCTCTGAGATGTGTCCCACAGAGAGATGGCATCAGTACAGGGGCAATGGTGCCATCACATGTTCTCCCCCTGCAAAAGGGGTTCTTGGCATGCTGGGGACTCACACTGGGAACAGCAGGCACAGTACCAGTCAAGCTGCAAGGACATCCCTGACACACACAGATGTTCCAGCTTGGAAATCTAATATATATAAAAATAATCCAAATTTGCTGAGTTACTGAATATTCACAGCTCTGAGGAGCACTGCTATACAAAAATGACATCTCACAAGATGCAAATTGTTGCTATGAAAAAAGATATTTGCTACTAGTCTACAGAAGAAAAGGACAAGGAAATTCAGGACAATTAAAGTCCTAGGATTTTCTTTGCTCTAAGAGAATTGAAAAAACTGTTGCCTTCACTGGTGAAGTATTCCTGACCAGCCCAAATTATTTTAAATCAAGCTGTTTACTGGAAAACATTAACACACTACAATAACAGAGGATGCTGAAAGGTATTTATTCTTCCAACTAAGTCCTTAAAAGTTCACAGAGACTTGACAGATAATATACACACAACTTCACCAGCATTAATTTCACCCACCATTTACTAACATAAATTTATATATGTGTAATTCTTTTCTTGGGAGAGACCATTTAATTTCCAACAGTTCACTGAGTTCAGAAGCATCTCAAGCACCAGATGCTTTTTTTTTAATTGGTGCAAGATCCAGTGGTCAAATTCCAGACTCAGTCCAAACACCTCACTTTGTTCTTGCTGGAAATACCACAAAACCAGTTTCACCTTCTGAAATTTCAGTCTGTGCATTCAGGAAGGGAAATGTATGCATGTTCTGAATTTTAAAACATAACTACAGCTTTGTTAGTTTTGCACATTGGTACAACTCTCCGTATTTTAACTCTTTCCTCTGCCAAAAATGATCACTATTACCTTATGATGGTCAAGTGACATATAAAACAGTATGTTGTTATAAGGAATTGAGCAATAAAACAGTTCCAACAGTTGCTTTACATATTATTATTAATAATGCATTATAGTTGGCTTTTACTCTGTAATTTTGCAAAGACTGAGATGAAAAACAGTCTGTATGTGCTCTTCCCTACACAGCACAGCATTTGTCTGCTTTTCAAAAAAGAGTTTTCAGACTCAGGTAAAAAGATTAGTCATTCTTGCTTACAACCTATTCCTGCAGAACCACTTAGGCTCTAACTATTCTTCAGATTTAAAAATAGCCCTCTGTTTTGATCATTTGGGTTTCTACTCTCCATGACCATAAAATTCATTTGAAAGCTAAAACCAAGGGGTTTCTTCTACTCTGGAGTCAAACCTCTGGAACAGTGCACAAGCACAAGAGGGAAATGTTACCAGTTACATAGGTAAGGAAACAAATGCAGTGTATTAAATTGCAGAAATGTGTTGTTTTAAAGTGAAGAAATGTCCAGCTCTGCCAAAAGGTCAAATGGAAAAGAGAACACAGATCTGGAATAAACATTCCGTCTGTCACAAGAAACCTCGTCTCATTCTACCTACAATTTGACATTTTTTAATTTTATCTGCTGTAACTTCTCTATCAGTCTCTCATCCTTTGACTCGTTGGTTAGAACTAATATAAAAGACACAAAACACACACCCCTCTCTTCAAGGAGTGAAGCTAACTCCAGCAAAAATGGAACATGCACATTAAAAATTGAGCCCTTGGATCAAAAGCTCCATAGGGCAAGGACTGACATTTCTGCTGAGTGCCTTATACAAATACTTTTCTCTTTTTCCCTCTGAATTATCAAATGCCTTCCACCTACTTTATGCAATTTCTTTCTCTGTTCTTAATGATAATAGCTTGCATTATGTACTACCTTTCATCCAGAAGAATCCCAAATGCTTTGCAGCCCACAGAGAAGGATTATCTCGCCCACTATCAGAACTCAGCTTGGTCTAAGCTCAATGGTGTCACTTTTACACTGGAGATCACACGGCAGTCAAGGGGAATATTTTTTAAAGCTTGCATTACTCATGATTAGTACCTTGGACCAGCTACTTAATTCTTTTGGGAAGACCCCAGAACTGCAATAGTCTCTTGTCTCCATAGCAGAAAGGGGAGCCAGCAGATGGATGGAATAAAGATCAGTATGTGATTGGCATGGTAGAAATATGAACTGAGGCTAGGGCTGTTTATCAGCATGACTTCCCCAGCACAAAGTACTGACAAGAGGTGGTGCCTGATCTATGTACTTAGGTCCCCTTCTCCACCAAAAACATTCTCCCCCTCTAAATGCCAAGCTGCATTCTTCACAAATTTCCTTTCCTTGTCACTACTTATTGTGCTGAGTTCATGCCTGACTGCACAGCTCTACATCTAAATACACTTATGAAACTGAAACTTGCCTTCCCTTTCAAAGACATTCTTTAATCAAGGTGACAGGTGGGGAAAATCAGTTATGTGACCAAAAAAAAAAAATAAAAGTAGTGATTTGAGAACCTAACATACAAAAGAAGTAATAGAAGTGACAGCTGAGATATTTCCTTGGCGCTGGTGGAAGCCAATACTGCTTCCAGTGACAAAGCCATGTTCCTGAATGGAAAATCTGAATTCAATGAATTGAATGTGCTAAGTATGTATGCACAGGTTGCTAATAAGAAATTTTAAGTCTATACATAGACTGTTTTCTATGTCTTGCTATTTCTTTAATTGATAATAGCCCTGAAACAGATTTTGGTAAACTGTCAGAGAAGTACTTGAAAGCTGTAGCAAATCCACTTGTTCTATTTCTTTTATTAAAAGCATGTGTATATAGAAGTGAAGACAAAACCTTCCTCTTCCAAACACATCTTGTCTCAATCAAAGACTACAGAAGATATGAATGAGGTTAATACGACTCAAAAATGGTAGTTCAAGACAGAGCTGCACAATGGTTTAAGTCTGTGAAGCTCTTCCTGCTCCTTCTTCCCAATCTTCCCCAAGCAATCCAGCATGAGAATCCATAGCAGTGATTTAGCTCACAGCTCACTGTGGATCAGTTCTCAAAAAAATCATGAACTCAAGCTAAAAAAAAAAATCACAATCAAAGTTCTGACTTCAGTATGAGACTAAATCCTGACTATATTGACTTTTAGCATGGGGGTGAAAGAACCTTGCAATTTTGAAGTTTTTAGCACATCTGTACTTGGAATAGCATATTTCTATTTGTAAAAGTGCCAAAAGATTCAGTTAACACTTGAAATTTTAAAATGAACTAATAAAACAAAAGTAATTTTATTGAATCTAATTTTTCAGAAACTTCTCACTTTAAACATAACACTGGCAAGATAATATACTGATCTGTTTTCCAAACACCATAAACAACTCAGCTGCTTGGCTTTATATACTTGTATACCAATATGGCAACAGTGTACTTGGATGTGGGATGTAGAATGAAACAGCAGTAGATGTGTTCTCACATGATGCCATCTAATCTAGTTACAGACACACAGACATGTATCATAGCATCTATATTGTTTCCAACAGGTAATGGGCATTCTGCCCTGACTCAGAGGGAGCTCGAGTCTCAGCTTCTCACAGAAACAGTTAAGCTGTAGATCTAGAGTTCAGCAAGGGCTTCTGATTGTTCAATGACTAGATCAGCTATAACCTGGACAAAAAAATCCACATCACGTTTTATTCAACAGTTGCGTACTTCATCTTGTCAGTTTGTAAAATCAAGCAATAACACAGGACAGAAGAAAACATCCAGTTTGTTTTACGAGCACTGGAACAGAGGATTTGGGTTTGGTATTTGATTCTTATTTAGTCAAAGCTGGCAGGTTGGACAGGACACTTTCTTTCACAAGCCAGCTGAAGATGTCATTTAACCTCCACATTCTATGGCCTGACCTGGAGACTATACCAGGTCTCAGCACCACCAACAGGGTGCTCATGCATCACTTCTCTGTGAATTCAAGTGCTGCATCAAAAGCGAGAGATCATGCACTCCTGCATGCCATATCTAAACAGAACTTACTCATCTTCTCCAGCACAGCATGCTGTGTGCTGTCTTTTTGTCCCCTTTACCTCTCATCTAGCCCTTCCATTCTCCTAAAATTTCACATCCAGGAAACTCAGATCAAATAAACCTAAAAGTCAAACTAAACTATGGGTCACAGGTTAAGTTTTTCTGTTATGTCTATTTTCTAACAGCTCACGTCTACTCACACTATTTAGCTTTTGCAGGCTGCCTTCTGCCTTTAGATGGCCACTAGTTAGCACCATTCTGTGTCAGCTTTCCAGCACAGCTATAGTGGGATTTGGCTAGATTCCAAGGAACCTTTATAAAAACACCACCAGCAACATTAACATGGTATTTGTGAAGAGACGCAGTATTCCTGAACTAGTTAAGTAAGATATGATGGTAAATATACGTAATACGCTGCAAGCGGTTTTGCACCCAAACCCAGAAATTAGAAACTTACTTCAATGCTGAAGTACCCTCTGTCCACGTAGTCCCCCAGGAAGAGGTACCGCGTGTTGGCAGGAGAACCTCCTACTTCAAACAGTTTCATCAAGTCAAAGAACTGACCATGGATGTCTCCACAAACTAGAACAGAAGAGGAGCAATATTTAGATTCACCATGCAAAAATCATCTTAGATATGCACAATCCAAAGTCACTGCGTTGTAAGGTGTGTTATGACAATTCTGTGCATCATCCACTAGTCAATCAGCAGCTGAGCACTGGCAGCTGCTAAGCATAAGCTGTTTTCTATAATGTACATCCATATATGTGTGTGCAAAAGGCTAGCAAGTAACTAAAGGAGAGTCATCAGGTAAATCCGGTCTGTAATGATTTTTACAGATACCTGTCCATTCCTGGTACTGCCACCAGAGCACACAATACCGGCAACAGTAATAAGACAAACCAAAGCTGCCACAAAAAAAAGAACATGTTCAAGAAAGGCTACTCTTTCTTTTAAAATTACTTCTCTATTCTTCGTAGTCTTAAACCCAGAGGAACAGCAACAGGCTTTCCATAAAATGCAAAGCACACCTGTCCTTTGTACGCCTCATTTAACTGACACATTTCTGACTTCTGCTTTCCGAACAGAAAAACATCCTGCTTGCTTTCCCAAACCATGCCTTACACAAGGGGACACTGGTGTTTCACACTTTAACCTCTACCCTTTTATTTAACCTCCCATAATTATGATTTGATCACCTTCATTGCACTGAAGCCAATCTAAGAGGCTGTTTCCCTAGAAGGAGCAGCCCAAATAAACACGACAGACCAAGCACAAGTGACACGAATCCTGGGCTAGGCTGGGATGCCTCTGTCTGTGCCTTGGGGCACAAAGGTTGGCTCTGCTCTTTTGTGAAACTGCAGACTCCCTGGTGGGTGACTTCAAGCATCTGCAGCAAGGCAGGCAATGCTTTTGGAGAAGCCCATGGATGCCTAAGAGTGCAGTGTCGAAACCTGCTTTGTTTCTGCTACTCAAAAGAGAACTTGCCCCCCCCACACGCCATTTAGGGTCAAGCCTGGAGTTTTTATGGCAATGATCATTAACCAAGGTGATGTTAAAAGCCTTGACTGGTGCTGAGGTCAGGTTAAACTTGCCCTTCAATGGCCCAAAACCCAACCCAACAAAAAAATCTCATTTTCACAGATAGGCCTTATCATGCAGCAACAGCCCACCTTAAGTACAATTCAGATGCTTTCTTTCACGTAAAGCTTTGTCCCACTACAGATAAGCAGACTTCATATTTGTCAACATGCCATGGAGAAGCTGAAGCCACAACTCCACAAAAAGAGCACTATATACACAACAGGTGCAGTACCAAATCCAACAAACTTACAGTGCAAAGTGTTCATATGCTATTGTCTTTCATCTCAGTCCAGTTCACATTATAGTTTTATACTTGTATCCCCTTTCCCTGAATGTATACACTAACAATAAAACCCATATAGTGTCATTCCATCAAAAAAACTAAATACAAAAGCCAGAAAGAACCCCCATCCAAACCAAACCAACCTCTCACCCTCTGGGTACAGAAAAAAACCCACTGATATCTCAGTCACTGTTTTCATGAATATTTATGTGAAATTTGACACAATTCATGATTCCTGGCTAGCTGACCATTCCTTCTGTGATAGTAATGTGATATTTTCCCCATAAAATATCATATTTTATCTTATCACCACTGTGATACACTTTATAATCTTTTAACTAGTTGATTCCCCACTGTGAGTTTTAGATGACAACTTTCATGCTAAAAGCCATCAACAGTTACAATTTCAACCCAAGAAAAATATCTGCCATTAATTATGCAAAATAAATACTATTTAAATCCCTACGTGGTCTAACACCACCACTGTTTTTCTAAAAAAAAAAGTTTGTACCCCAAAAGAAATTATTTTGTAACATCTTTATTTGAATGCATTAATCTACCAAACCAATACATACTTCTTGACTGTACTCCTCTGCATGGACATTGTGGGAAGATTAAAAACACGTGTCACAATTTGATGGCCAGGCAATCTGCTCTCCTAACTTGCAACAGAAAAGCTTTTAGTTACATAACTGTACAGCTCTACCAATTATCGCCCGCCCCCATTTGCTCCAACTGCAAAAACCTGAAGTTGAACAAGACTGAAAGATTTTAAAATGGATTTAACTTTTTTACTTTCACTTAAAGCACAAAGAAACTAGACTTTTTTTTTTTTTTTTTTTTTTTCTTTTGGTATGCAGACATGTGTGAACAGGTAAATGTACTGGGCCCATTACAGAGAAACCAGAAAGGTTAGAAAGCTTTCCGCAAAGGAGCTGCATTGTCCCTGAATTTGTCAGAAGTCAGAAAAGCAGTGCGCAAATCAGTGAACAGGACAGAAATAAAAAGTCCAAAGCTCTGCAATCCCACAAGTTGCAAAAGTCTGAATTGGTCTCGAAAATGGGTACTTGATGGATATTCTAGGCACTTTGCACAGAGCAGCCTACTTCTTTTATACTTAGCAATAGATACCAAAATGTACTCAGGAAAAACAAAACAAACCCCCCCCCCAAAAGCCCAGCACTCAAAATTAACCTTGTCAAATTAAGTAGTTCCAAAAGAGAAGCTTAAAATCAGCAGGTAAAATCAGAGGGAGGAAGATGCTCAAAATAAAGAATTATAATGGTTTAATTTATTACTGTCAAATCCCAGAGTTACTACTGGAGAACTACAATGTTACATACAGTTAATTGAATTAGTATTTTGCCTGGAATAGGATGGAATGGCTTACAGACTTTACACTGTAAAACCCATATAAACATATTCTCATGAATAGCCTGATTTACAAATTAATTAAAGGGGCAATTTTGCATGCATACAGTACTATGCTCCATTTATCGTTTGAAAAGAACTGCAACTGCTTCTAAAGCTATAGTTCTGCCACCTTTCTTTTCCAACTCTAAATTCCTATGAATCTCAGATCTGGAAGATTTCCCAGGCAGCTGAATCAATGCTTTATCTTTCATCAGGTGGGGGCAAAAGAGATCCAGCATTATATTTCCATTCATAAAGGCAGAAACATCCACCAGCCAGTAACTCTGCCATAGTCATCATGTCACGCTGCAGCTTCACATCACTAAGAAAGAACTTGCAGTGCTGTCCCACCAAAAGCCTACAGGAGAGGTTCCATATCCACTCCACACAGTGCTAAGTCCACTACCTGTGTCCTTCTTGTTACAGGAAAAAAATAAAATTAAAATCACACCAGTTATTATATATTCAGGTTTATTCTCTTACAAGCATTAGCATTGAATCTGTTGTTCCTGTTAATTTTGCCAGACACATCCTGTTTCGTTACACCTGGCACAGGCCCTCTTTTGGTACTGGAGCTCTTACTATTAAACAACACGTGCAAAGGGATATGAACATTTTTCTATCAAATAATAACAAAAAAAACATCCCAAGCACAGTAAAGCAGGAGATTCAATTTTTAATGAAGATCTCCAGGACTGATGTACTTATGGATTTTAACTATGAACACAGGGAACGTAAAGCTTGGTTTCTATGTGTGCAGGATTAGCATTTAAAGCAGCTGTGTTCATATTAAAAAAATAAATAAATAAAAAAATCCAGAGGAGGCATTCACATACTTTCCAATATCAAGTGACTTCCTGAAAGTGCCATCAAGTGACGGCCTTTGTACACTCATTAATTTATAATAAAAAAGTAACCTGACAGCAATTTTCTTCTCCCCTATGAAGACAGCACTGCTTAATTTAGCCAGTGCTTTTCAACTTCCTTTGTATTCTAAAATTGCCAGCTGGACAATAAAGCTTTTTCTATTCACTATTTCCAGGGATCAGTTCAGGCATCAAATTTGTTGCTTAAGAATTTGTCTATCTGAGCCTGTCAACATCCTAACCTAAACTCTCAGGGCAGCAAGGTCCAGAACTGCACAACACACTAGAAATGTTTCAAATGTAAAGAAATTTTTAAGTTATTTGAAACTAATGTCCTGATGGCAAACAAATTAACTGTTGGTAAAATCACAAAGTTTGAGAAACACTAGTTGTTTGTGGACTCCTTAGAAATTTATCTCTGTTGAGGAAGTTTTCAAGGAAGACACAGGCCCCTTCACAAGACTCAAGTTCATAGGACTGCCCTTGCAATTCCTGAGAAATCGTGTTTCTGAGCAGATTTTTCTGCTTGTTATGATGTGTACTTTGATCACTACACAACCTTAACCTATAGCAGCAGATTTTTTCCAATTTAACTGTCTATAAAATATAATTTTATTATAAAAATAGAAATTGGTCACGGGTAGACACAGGAGAAATGGTTTTTGTCATCCTAATACAAATTAACTTATGTTTCTGCTGGCTTCTTATGTTTCTGTGAGGATTTTTCTTTATGTCAAAGGAACAAGAAATACTGAAACAGGAGCCATTGTGGTACTAGCAGTGAAGGAAATTCAAACCTGAGCAGTTCATTTGCCAGTTTATTGATAGATGACAAAGGGGTATAACAGTGATTTAAAGTGCAGTGTCTATTGGCACAAATAAGAAGTCTGTGAATTCTCTTCACATACTTTCCTTCAGATAACTAAATGCTCTTCACTATGTACAAGCTCAGTCCAAAGAATATTCTGTATAGTTTCCCACTCCAAATGGGCATTAAGAACAAAATTTATATCCACACTAAATTAAAGACTGTCAATTCAAAATTTTTTTATCTGCAACAGTTTGCATGCTGCACTTATTTTCTCATTTATCAGATACATACTTAAATGGTGTAACATTATAGGCTGATACTAAAATACAATTACTGTTTCAAGTGTATTTTCATTCCATGTATTGCAAGACTATATACCCATCTTCAAATAACATCAGGTATTAGGAGCAGATATGTAACACTCCAGATATCTAACAGCTCCAGAAGCAACATTTGCAAACTCATACATGTATGACAGTTAGCAATAATCAAGCAAATATAACTTTTACACCACTGTGTAGGGAATAATATCCACCACTTGACAACTTGTTCTTTATATTCACTGTTTCTGCAATGAGTTCCAAGAGACTGTGCTTGAGCAAAGCAGCACACAATACTAAAATAC